TTTAAAAAAGATAATTTTCACTGAAAGCGAAGGAACGTAGCTGAAAATAAGGAATTAAGACTGTAAATGTAAGGAATGTAACTGTAAGTTTTCCACCAAATAACTTGAGTCAAATGAGACACTTTAACTGGACCTCAGGGGAATTTGGTCTTTTAGTCTTTAGAATTCAGTCTTTTATTTCTGAGATACTTTTTTTGAAGGGTGGCAAGGAAGCTAGAGATGTTCTCAGTGACTAACGCAAGCGTAGGAAAATACGGGTCGAGCTAAGAACCAATGAGATTGCAAGATTCGTTACTGTGCCCTCTTAGAAAAAATAACTAACAATTATTCTACGAGCGCGAGTTGGATATGAGACGGTGAATAGCAAACGAGGCGCGTAGCGCCGAGTTGGCTATGGCCAATCTTGCATCCAACAAGCGCGAATGGAAAACTCATTTTATCAAGTTTCATTAATTCCTGAACGTTTGAATACTTTCACTAAAGTTTTTAGCTTCCGACATGCCCCAATGCATTTCGATAAGAGGTGACTCGAATATGAGCTGATAACCAGAGTTGAGTGACCCATCAGATCACTAGAAATGCAACATCCGGAAATGAAATTAAATGATAAAGGATATTTTGGGTTTGAGAAGCCAATCAGAGCGCGCGTTTGACGCTATCTACTGTTTTAGTATATACTAAAGTAAATTATTCAATGAACTGATCGACCATCTCTTTTGGTTTATGACATTAAATATATCTTTTGCTCGATCGACATGATGCCCACTTTCGAGAGCCTTGGCAAAAATTTTCCAACTAAGGGTGTCAAGGCTCAGAAAAAAATGAAAAAAGTTGGTTAATGTAGTTATAGCAAAACAAATATATCTAAGTGATATGACTTGATAGAAAAGATGCAGACATACCAAACAATAGAATAAGAGGGATGGTAAGTTAGTAAGATGGTAAGTTGGAAAGTTGATAAGATGGTTTTGGTTCTTTACCAAAAAATGTGCGTATCTTACTTTTCGAGCGCGTTTTTTAAATGGGAGGGAATGAATATCCAGTCTGGCATTCAGTAGCTGCCCTTTTCGGAGATGGATTGCTCAAAGCACAGTTGTGTTTATGGCTGGAATTTCAGCCCAAAAGGGGTTTCCCTGAGGAAAGATTTGTGGGTTGATTAAAAAAGAAGAAATAACCTTTATGAGTTTAAGTGATTTATTGCACCTCTATATCTAGTGCCTTATTTTCCAAGGTGTTATAAATACATTGCTCGAGTGCAACTGGCAAATTGTTCTAAGATTGTTTTGGTGGCAGCCTTTTTGCTGATTGTTCTTCTTCGGATGGGTCATCGTCAATCTCGGCATCCTCACTGTTCATAACGGGTATGAGACTATGCCTCATGCTTTCTACAGTTCCATATTTTCCATTTCCTTGATAATATTTTTCTTTATCTGGATCGTCTCCCTCGAAGAACTCCTCTAGAACTTCGGCTTGCTTCGGGAAATACTCGGACGCTGTCGTGGACGATCGGTTTTCGGTGTTTGCGCTCCAGGAGTTTCCGGCGTAATAGCTTAGTTTATCGTTCAGGTGACCTTGCGCGTAGTGAGTTGCTTTGCCTACAGCCTTTAAGTATCTCTCATTGTACTTGGCATTGCTTGAGTCATACGAACCTGCCGACCGGTTTACCATTTCCTTTTGATTAATCCTGCTCCTATTCAAGGAATATGATTTATGTAAAATCGCTGGCTTCTTGTGAGTATGAACGGGTTGTTTTGGAAAACGAGCCACAAAGATTGGTCGCACTTTTGATCTAGGCCTGCTTTGATTACCATCTAACAGTGAAAAGGTAGGCTTCGGTTTACAATAGGATGGATTAAACTTGCCCTTCAGCACGTTTTCCATAGTGTCGTATCTGATGGCTGGCTTGTAACGCGCCACTATGTAGGTGTAACGTCGACCATTTCTCCGTCCTTCCGCTTTTCCGATTCCAAATTCCGTGCTATTTTTCCAAACGACTTGCATGAAGTGAGCAGCTTGTGGCTCATAACCGCCTTTGCCCCAGTTGTAAGTGCAAACCTCGTTGTACCTTTAAAAGACAAAGTTTGTAAAATTAAATTGTTGAACTTTTTTTTTACACATCATTGCTGTCGTAATTCACAAATCTATTCTGTATCATGAAAATAAGAGTTTCAAGAACACTTAAAGTATTAGTATCAGTATTTTCAACATCATTCGATTCTCAAAGCTTGGTTACTTCTGAAAAAATCTCCATCTCGGATCCAGTGGGTCAACTAAAACATTTTCTCGATTCAGAAACTGTTGCATATACATGTGTTAATAGTAGCATTATCTTAAAGAGGGCATAGATATTTTTTTTCTGGTACTGACTCAAGATTTATGGTACTCATCAACAGATCGAAATTTCCTCATTTTTGTCATTTGCACCTGTGCTACTTAAAGATACCAGAAACAGTTGATCTCTTGTGGAATTCATTCTGATTAACTATCCAAAGAAACTATGGTAATGCGTCGGTGGGAGAGTAAAATGATCGAGCCATCTAGAAATTGCATGGCTCACCAATTTTTTACTGCGCCATACGCAGTCAGTCCACCCAAGCCGCTTCCTCCTGATGCTAAATTCTCTCCTTCATCTTCCTTGCGCAGGACAAGAACGTCCTCGTGCATCATTGGTTGGTTCTTTGCACCCCTTTTTAAAAGTTTCTTTGCAAATAGTTCAGCTTCCCTTGACATCTTCATGTTGATTCTAAGAGGGGGCGAGTTATGGATTGCTCGAAATCTGTTATGAGACTCCAGTGCTGACTTCAGAAATTCTCTATCTGCGTGTAATATGAAAGGAAAACGAGAGGAAAATATCCAGGATATAACGTGGGATGTAACTGGTACCGATAGCAATTGCTAGAACGTAAATGTTACACCTGACAGTATAAGGAAAGCATAATAGTAAACGAACAGGAAACTGATGACATATAACTGAGGGCGGATACGAGGCTCGCGTATTTCAGAGCATTTATTTTTGTGAACACTGTCAAGAGGACTGAAAGTTGATAGTGGAACAACATTTGGTCAATTAAATCAACCCTCTTAAAGAGAATCACTGAGGCCCACTACTAGCGTAAAACCGCGGTTTAGGTTAGAACTTGTGTAAATAGGCGGCCCTTAGAGTTTTAAATTGATTATACCTCAAAACGCGTATTTTACGTATGCGTTCGCGGGAAGTTGCAAGGGACAGTATTTTCTTAGCCTGCGCAGCCGTCCCTTCCGCCTAGCTATGGCAAAAAGAGACCAAGGAGGCCACTTAAAAGGATAGCTTTTACCTGTTTCTATCCCAAAAGACGGTTTGTCTGTTTGATACCACTTGTCTTTAAACGAGTATGGCTTCGGGGCATGTGCGTCAGGTTGTACCGCAATTGGCAGAGGAGCTGGCTTCATGCCAAAGCTTGTTGGTGTTGATAGCTGGGTCTTCTTGACGTTTGCTATTTCAAAGTGTATATCCATGGATGTCTGATCAGGACTTATTTTTCCAGTTCCTTCGATTTTCATGTTTCCATACCCCAGTGATGCTGCAAACATAGATTTACTGTCAAACAGAGGTGCTAATTTACATCAGAGCAGCAGTATCGACTGCACTTTGAGTAAAATTTTGAATGACTTAGTGTTCAGTATTCAGGACTTGTGTCAAACATGAATCTAGCGGTGGGCCTGATTCACGACAGAGGTCTATGTAGTTCACTGGCAAAGCAAAAAACGAAGTTCTTGAAATCGATTCCTCCTCAGATTATTTCTGTGTCCCATACAAATGAAAAAATTTTTGTTTCGTTATTCTAATGTAGAGCTCTAAATTCTCCCTCTTCCTTATTCTCGCTCATCGAACATGTTTTTAAAAAGAAGTTGGTATGTTAGAAAAAGGTTCTACTTTTAGTTTGATCATATGAGATCGAGAAGGCTAATGAAAGCATTTCATGGTCAAATGATAAGTAAAGCTCATATTTTCTTTTACACATATTGGCATACGTTTACATTTAATTGACATCTTTTGTTCTTCATCTTGAAAAGAGGCCCTCACTATAATTGCGAGTAAAGGACCCAAACTATGGGCTGCTTTCTCGTCTCTGGATGAAGTACACGTTAAGTAGAGGCATAATAAGCTCTTTAACAGGTCGGAAAAACAGTTTAACTGAAGATGATCTCACTGATATCAGTTAAGTTACATCGTTTTGACTCTTACCTGCCGCAGCTGATCTCGTAGAGACGAAAATCACGCATAGGGTCAGTATCATTGTTTGATGGCGTCTTCCTTAAGAAGAACGACATGAAGACATTGACGTTTTTGTAGAGTTTGAGTTTTTTGCAAGGGAAAATTAACATATTTTACTTTTCCGACTAAAGATTGTTTATTGTGCTAAAAATCAATTAATGGAAGCTGCTGACATTCTCAGAAAAAGTGAAAAAATAAATCATTTCTTGTCTGATCTAAACGTCTAAGATTCTCCGCAGACAAGCACTTATTTTTGGACCGACGGTATTTTTTGTCACCAAGGTGTTCTAACAGGTATTCTAGCCAAACGACGCTAGCTGACTGCTCGAAACTCCAATGGTGAAGCAGCTGTGAACTTTAGACAAACGTTAAGTGACGAAGCAAATTAATTGAAATGCAACTCGTAGATAAGTTATTGACTAATGGTTACAAGAACTTCAAAAGGAAACCGCCTAGACGGAAATCTTGCTGGCCTCTACAACCTGTTGCACACCAGCTTCGTAAATATGACAACAAGCAAAATCTCTAGTTACTACAGATGACCCGTGGTGAATAAACATATGCAATTAAAGATAAGCAAATAATATTCTTATTTTCTTCAGGCGACAAAAAAGTTTTCGGTCTAAGGAAGAATTCTTAAATATAATAAGAATGAAATATAATTTAAATGCTTCTAACAGAAAAGTTCTTTCAAACTAACTCCCAGGTATGTGTGGATAGCATAGTTGATATAATAATTTTTATAAACCTAAATAAATTTCCTTAAGTCTGCTGGGTGGTGCTTAGAGGGGGTTTAGAAAAAAATGTCTTTTAAACTATATCGGAGATACGTATCGATATTTCTGTAGGCATTCTACCAACACCGGTAACAGAAAGCTCCTTTAGTATATTGGTGTTAGACGGGTTTCCTACGAAGGGTCAAGTGGCAGAATCAGAAATTTGCAAAAACTGATTTGGTCCGTGATAAAAAAGAAAATATCGCAACTGCCATTGAAAAACATGAAGAAATTTCCTTTGATCTAATATCATGCCATTATTTGTGTGCATTGGGTTATTGACTTTGTAAGCCGGTTGAATTGGCTAAGATAATCAAAACGTCCCATTAAATTAAATTTAGTATCCTATCGACGCAGTTAATCGCTTTTCCCTTTGAACTGGGGTAACCGTAGTTTTAGTTCAAGAAAGCGTAAGATTATTATGTTTCAGATATATAATTTCTTACCTTTCTTGGTGAATTCGTTTTCACTGTTGCCTTCCTTGAAAACCACTCACACTTCCCATAATGCATCAGAGATAGGGAGGGGGATAAATTATTTCTGCGTCAAATATGTTCCCCTCTTATTGATTGAAATGATATCTTGTCTGCTCTAATTTTTCATTCACGTCTTTATCTGCAGTTCAAATATATGTCTTTCATATATTCTTAGCCGTTTATTCATCACTTCACGGGTTTATTTGGAAACAACATAATGACCAGCTCCCAGTTGGCTTGTTAGCTCAGTTGGTAGAACGCTGCACCGGTATCGCAGAGGTCATGGGTTCAAATCCCGTACAGGCCTGAATGTTTTTTTCAGGCCTTATTTTCACTAATGCTCGAGTAGTGTGCATTATTGCGAAGATCACTTTCATTCACGTCTTTATCCGCAGTTCAAAAATATGTCTTTCATATATTCTTAGCCGTTTATTCATCACTTTACGGGTTTATCTGGAACCTACATAATGACCAGCTCCCAATTGGCCTGTTAGCTCATTTGGTAGAGCGCTGCACCGGTATCGCAGAGGTCATGGGTTCAAATTCCGTGCACACCTGAATTTTTTTTTCAGGCCTTATTTTCACTACTGCTCAAGTAGTGTGCATTACTGCAAGGTCACTTTTATTCACGTCTTTATCTGCAGTTCAAAAATATGACTTTCATATATTCTTAGCCGTTTATTCATCACTTCACGGGTTTGTTTGGAACCAACATAAAGACCAGCTCCCAATTGGCTTGTTAGCTCATTTGGTAGAGCGCTGCATGGTATCACAGAGGTCATGGGTTCAAATCCCGTACAGGCCTGAATTTTTCTTAGACCTTGTTTTCACTACTGCTTAAGTAGTGTGCATTACTGCGAGGTCACTTTTATTCACGTCTTTATCTGCAGTTCAAAAATATGACTTTCATATATTCTTAGCCGTTTATTCATCACTTCACGGGTTTGTTTGGAACCAACATAAAGACCAGCTCCCAATTGGCTTGTTAGCTCATTTGGTAGAGCGCTGCACCGGTATCGCAGAGGTCATGGGTTCAAATTCCGTGCAGGCCTGAATGTTTTTTTCAGGCCTTGTTTTCACTACTGCTCAAGTAGTGTGCATTACTGCGAGGATCCCTTTCATTCACGTCTTTATCTGCAGTTCAAATATATGACTTTTATATATTCTTAGCCGTTTATTCATCACTTAACGGGTTTATTTAGAACCAACATGATGACCAGCTCCCAGTTGGCCTGCTAGCTCAGTTGGTAGAGCACTGCATGGTATCGCAGAGGTCATGGGTTCAAATCCCGTACAGGCCTGAATTTTTCTCAGACCTTGTTTTCACTACTGCTTAAGTAGTGTGCATTACTGCGAGGTCACTTTTATTCACGTCTTTATCTGCAGTTCAAATATATGACTTTCATATATTCTTAGCCGTTTATTTATCACTTCACGGGTTTATTTGGAACCAACATAATGACCAGCTGCCAATTGGCTTGTTAGCTCATTTGGTAGAGCGCTGCACCGGTATCGCAGAGGTCATGGGTTCAAATTCCGTGCAGGCCCGAATGTTTTATTCAGGCCTTGTTTTCACTAATGCTCGAGTAGTGTGCATTACTGCGAGGATCACTTTCATTCACTTCTTTATATCTACAGTTCAAATATATGACTTTCATATATTCTTAACCGTTTATTCATCACTTCACAGGTTTATTTAGAACCAACATAATGACCAGCTCCCAGCTGGCTTCTTATCTAGTTGGTAGAGCGCTGCACCGGTATCGCAGAGGTCATGGGTTCAAATTCCGTACAGGCTTTAATTTTATAAGGCCTCATTTTCACTACTGCTCAAGTAGTGTGCATTACTGCGAGGATCACTTTCATTCACATACTGACTGACTCAGTAAAACAAAATTATCTAATAATACACCCCACCAACGCAGAACCATAGTTTCTTTCATTTATTTAATTTAGAGCATGTTAACGTACAATGTAGTCTACAGCCTGCCGCTATAACCTCAGAGGTAAGTAATATAAAGGTTTTGATAGGATTCCTTTGAGGGAGTTGAAAGTTTCTGTCGTATAGGTTTGGAATCAAATTTGGCCCATGACGAAAGTTTGCTCCTTGAATATTATGCCTGGCAAAAGAATAAAATCTTAGTGATGATTTAAGAGATCACTTGTGAACATTTAGAATGTTTTGACGCCTAGCTAACCACGTGATCATAAGGGCTCCAGTACGGTCATAATTGTTGTTGTTATATACCTAGACTTTCCCCAACAAAACGAGCACGGTGATTGGTTGATTCTTGGTCACGTGCTACTGATCAAATTCAAATGGATCCCGACCGGGATACAATTGCGCAGTTGTTGCCCGCGCGCCGAATAAAATAATATTAAAGTTTATTCTGGAGCAAATGTTACCTTCAATTGTTACAATTCCAAATGATTTTGTATTCCTTATTGAGGTTATAAAAAGCATGTTTTACTTTTCCATATACTTCGAAACATTTGAAGTTAAGTTAAGACTTATTCATTCAGCAGGATTGACGATTGTTAGTAAAGAAGTTGTGCGGTTTTTGTTTGTTTGTTTTTTCCATATGATTGTTTGAGGGAAAGTCTAAATATATAACAAAGCACTTAATGTATGGTCCCGCGGGAAACTAGTTAGTTTTGTTTTCCCTCGAAACAAAAACTGTTTCCCTTGGGACCATACATTAAGTGTATATTAAACTGTCTTTGCCTTTAATGTTCATTCCTTTCTTCGAGAGGTTTTTTCTGTCTTCTTTATTGTAGACTTCTTTGCATCAATGACTATGTCATCATTATCCGTGGGTGACTTATATGTCCTCCTCCAGTCATCATCATCTCCCGTGATCGAGACATCATCCTCATTGTCCATATCGTCATCAAGGGTAGCTTCTGGTAAATTTACACGAGGTGACAAACTGTAAAGTGTCTTGGTGTTGGCTTGTACCCGCGATAAGTCTCGCACATCTTGTGTATCCATAGTTTTTTCCCATGGACCCAGAGGGACGAACGATACGCTACTTGGAGGATCTGCGGTGTATTGGAAACTACCAAGAGATTGAGCTTCAGGAAATGGTTGGTTATCTTGTTTAGCAGCTCCCTCCTGGAAAAATGTACTTGGATATCCTGTTGACATTAAGCCTTCGTCCTTATCCGCATTACAATATGAAGACAGGAATGAACCCTTATCTACATTACTGTCCATTTCGAATGCATTCATCACACCAGGTCTGTAGCGTGCTACGATGAAAGTGCAGGGTAGGCTACGGCGTTTGCCAAATGCTCTTCCTATTCCCATGTGACTGGTTCCTTTCCATATTAACTGCATGAAATTCTTGGCTTCGGGTTGAATGGCGCTCTTGCTCCAGTTAAAATAACAGACTTGGCTATACCTGAAGTTAATTTTTTTAAAAACATTTGAGTAACAAAGAGGTTGTTTAAACTGCGTTTCATGGTGCTTGCTTGAATTGAAAGCCTGCTTTAAATTCCAGAATATCCGGCGATACTTAGTGAAACGCTAAGAAAAGTTAATTATTTTTCCGACCCTTTTCAAAATAAAGGATTCTCTTCAACAAATAAACGTATGCGAAAGTATACTGTATGCTTTTAAGCCCCAAAAAATATTTAGGAAATCAGAAAAGAATTTTCAGCCGGTCTACTTGTGCAACTTTACGCATGCGCAATGAGATGCACACACTCACCATCTATGGACAGCTCCAGCAGATGTCAATCCTCCCCACTCGCTGCATCCTCTTGCCACATTATCACCTTCACCCTCCTTCCGAAGGTTACGGTTTAGTTCATGGTGCGCAACACCCATTCTAGCTAGTTTTTTGGCAAACTTTTCAGCCTCCGCGGACAGCTCTTGGCTTAGTTGCAGAGGAGGAGCATTGTGTAAGGCTCGATACCTGTTGTGAGCGGCAAGGGCGTCTCGCTGAAAGTACTCGTCTGTGAAATGAAGGTCAACGGACGTTCCATTTCACAATGGCGACTAATTTTGAACGCAAACCAAGCAAAGTAGCGGAAACAGACGTGAAATATAATTTGATCTTAAAACAGCTACGTATCATATTGGAAATATGAGGTAATTATGATTAAAGGCACTGATGAATAATAATCCTGCCTTTAAGGTTACAAGTGTACTCCCGTTAGCTATTAGGAGTCTATATAAGTATCAAGATTCCTAGTCAAACTTCAAAAGACGCTTTTAATTACCTGTCTCGTTTCCATAAAAAGGTGATCCAAAGTCATCAACTGGCATGTACCTCTGGTTTGAAGCTGGGGTTATCGCTTTACCTTGAAACTGACCATCCGCTTCTCCTTCCTCACGGTCGTTGCTTACGTTACTACTATCATCGTTGGCAATTTGCAAATCTTCGACGTCTTTTTCTTCAGGATTTTCTTCAGGAAAAGGTGGAAGGTTTTCTTGTCCGTAATCAACCTTATCTGTGGATATGGAGTCGGTTTCTTCACTGCCGTGATTTTCTTTTGCGTTGTATTCTTGGTGACCAGAAGCATTATTACCAAGGCTTTCTTCTTTAATAATAGCATTAGAGCCCTGTTCAGTCTCATAGTTAAAGTCTGTTTGTTTCTGTTCTATGCTCTGGAGTTGATTCCCACTTTTAGAAAATGTTTGTTTGTCAAAGTAAGCCGAGTCAAGATGCTTTAAACTTACGTTATTAGGAAGAAAATTACCTGCGATTGCTACTGTTCTATTTCCAAATGTTTCTTTATGACTTCCGCTTTGATTTGAAGTTTTATTTCGGTTGTGTCTCAAGAGATTTTCCATTTTATTATTTTCTTGTTTGTGGAAACTCCCTGCAGAAGGGGTGTGATTTTGGATGTTTTTAGGACTCATTGCTAAACTACTCTCCTTGTCATTTCTAAGTGTCGTATTGGTATGCAAAGCCAACTGATTCAGAGAAGTTTTTGTCTTATTCACTCTTTGAATTTTCTGAGGGGTATAAGCTTTCTGATGAAAGGAAGTAGTTCTATTCCGAAAAATGTTACTTGCATTTCCTTCCGTATGTTTTGAGATGGTGAGAACATTTTTATTTCCTCTAGAGAATATTAATGGCGCTCCCATCACGATTATTTCTTCGTCTAAAGGTGTCTTCTCTCTTAGAGCTGATGCGTCCTTCAATTGCTTTGTGAGAGGCAATCTTTTGTTGCTGTAATTCGTGAGAGGACTGTCTTTCTTTGGTTTTCTTCCCACAACCCTTGCGGTTGGTATAACAGGACCTTTTGATGAGTGAAACAACTCCCCCATCCTACCATTGTGAGGTGTATTGCGCCCTTTCAATTGAGCATTGAGGGTAAGAGGTGGTCCTACCATTTCAAGTGCTTTGTGGGTGTTACTGGTATTATTATTGCCATTCCTCCCTCTTTGGTGTCCAAGGTCTTGCATTTGCTTATTGTCATACCCATTTTGTAACCTGCCGTTAACTTCTTGCTTCACCTTGTAGAAAGGCAATGAATTCTTACCTGAAGGATGATGCAACTGTGTTTTCGAAGCGTTTGACTTCTGTGAAATTATCCTGTGCTTTAACGGCAATCTCAAAGCAGAACTCAGTGAATAATCTCCGTTAAACTTTTGTAAAAAATGCGGTATTGTCATCCTTTGTTTTCCTGATATCGATTCCGGGACAAATTTATCCACCTTGTCAAAATCTCTCAGAGATAATCCAGAGGCCGTAGCTGAAGAGATGAATGAAATTTATAATTGTGCAGTACGGGTAGTGTAATTTCCCTTCTAGTTGCTATGAATTTTCTTGCAAATTCGTCAGGATACTTTGGTATGCGATGAAGATATTACATCTTACGGACAGGATTGTGGAAGGGCATCTTAAGCAAGAAATTATTAGTTCATACCTTCTACCGCGATATCATTCTATTTACCTGTTGTAGCGGAAATTGTGCTACCCAGTGTAACCACGAAACAGTGCAAAATACATGCCCACATTGTGTGGTGGAACGTGAATACACCCATGCTGACCCAAATTCTTACTAGAACGTGCATCCAGTGATTCCTCCTTTGCGTTCGAAGAAAAAAAAGAATAAAAAAATGAATCTGACTCAAAATTAATTTGTGACAATAAACCACCGTTCCTCGTTTTCATGATATTTGCTCTAAGATCCACCCATGAAAGACAGCTTTCTTGCAATTCTACGGAACGTCATTATAAACTTCAAACATTCAAAATACAATGTTTCATTCTCTCAGTTCCTCTAGTCTTGGATTGGGAAAAGTATATAATTTATTCTGATTTCACATGTTATTGAAACGGTAAAATACTTCAACAAAAAGTGGTTCTATTTTGGGGGCTTGTGCACTTGTTTTTTCTGAAGCGACGCTCTGAAGGCTGAGGGAATAATGATGCCTTTAACTCCCCTCCGAATCTAAACAAATTTTCTATTTGAGTCAAGGTTACGAAAGAAATAAGTATTTGTAAATAGTATCAAATAAATAATAAATTAAAATTGTCACTTTCGTTTACTCGAAGAAAATTCGACTTACCTTTATATAAACGATGTTTATGGGGACATCACTCTAACGGCACCAATTAACTACCCAACGCATATAAACGGAACATAGTTCTCGGTGTGTTGGTGATTACCATGATGTCATGTTTGTCTCTTTTTCTAACAGTCGTAAAGTTTTTTAGTAGTCACGCCCATCCGACATTGTGCCACCAATATCAGCAGGTGAAGGTATTCAAAGGTGAAATTTAATCATCGTCATTTCTGGTCTCCCAACTTTATATCTTAGACCGGCCACCTTGAGGAGTGAAGTCGAGGTTCACTACTCAGCCGTCCACAAACCTTGAAGTTATGCCCGGTAACTTCTACTCATTATAATTAATTTATTGGTGGGGGTGAAAGAATTTAAAACGAAAAAAGGAATGTGATATTTTGGGATAAACACAAAACAAAGAAAAACCTTCGTTGGCAATTGACATAAATAGAACAGTTGATTGTGGACGGAGAAAATTTCAGCAAGCTTCTACAAGAAAGTCGTAGTTTCAAAATGATAACTACACTTAACTTTAAAATGTCGTATTTCGTAGGTGCTGCGAGCCAATCACGATGGGTTGCCTAGCTTGTTTATATTTAAAGATCACTGCGGGCAAAGCAAAAAATAGTTACAGCTTTTAATCATCATTTGTGAGCCAAAAAACTTCATTCATTACCCTAGTGATCTGCTCTGCATATTTCATCATCTCCTCATTTATTTTATTAACTTTTATAGCCACTCGACAATCTACATCGCTTTACCATGAAAAGACAATATAAAACTGACGGTTGCCTGCTCTACGTACTGAGCCTTTGTGAACCACTGAGCCGCAATAAAGTATTTGACATTCCCTGACCAGTTAAGAGCTTTGAGAAAACCATAGCCAGTAGAACCTGTTGTGAATACTGTTAATATAAATCATTGCTTGTTAATTTTCGCTCCAATTCACAGAATTTGTTACTTTGACAAGTATTTGACACTCACTAATTGTAGATAAATTTAAAGGGGATCTGAACCCTTATGAATATCAACATTACAATTCAAGAGTACGAATCTTTGAAATTCGATAGCAATTCAAGAAATTCAGAGCGATACTTAATTAGGAGCGGTACTTCACATTTATTTTGATGTTACAATAACCAACAAAAAGTCATTAGTTAGAATTTTACGGTTTATTCTTCTTACACTATGCTTTTGACTGACGCGTTTTTTTAACAATACCTTCCAATTAACGAGTAAGGTTCGGCGACCAAGCGGAAAAGAATCAATGATTTTAAACAGCGATAAAAAACTTTTTCTTTGAGGTAGCGGCACAGTCTATTGAAGCATCAAATAATCCTTTTTTAACATTAGTCTTAAGCTGCTCTTTGGTCTTTAAGGCTTCCATAGGCTTGTAACGAGCAACAACGTAGATGCAGTTTTTTTCCGCATTTTTTGCCGCAGCAACACCGACGCCGAGTTGTTTGGAAGCACCCCACACAAGCTGCGTGAAATGGGCTGCTTTTTTTGACATCGGGTCAGGTTCTTGAAAGTTATATTTACACGCCTCTCTGTGCCTACAAGTGGAATAAGAGCAGGAAATTAGAAATAAAATCGAGTTGCTCTTTCCTAGTAGATACCTGTTCGGACCTGTAAATGCTCTTTGAATTGAATTTTCTATTGTGTAATTCCTCACATGCAGACCCCTTATCATGGTTTAAACGTCTTGAATTTGTCGCGAAAATGAGACATGTTTGTGAAAGACCCCAATTTCTTGAAAACCGCTTTTCACCCCTGGATATGTCTTCAACGAACGTCAAACGGAGGTTGCAAATTCATCCTTGAAAATCTTTTTTGAACGCCGTGTGAGTGAGCAGTGCGTCTAGGGATTATCAAAGTGCTTTTTTGATACCTTACTATCTTGCACCATCACGGTGCATATGTAAATTCAGCGATTTTCGATAAAATACAATAACAGAATTCCTGTAGGGTATCTTTATTTGTGTAAACCTTACCATGTGTCTATGACTTTCCTTACAACCCGCGCAGCTGAGAGTTCAACCTTAGAACATACCAATCCAAGATTTTCTCCTTGACCTATTTGCTTCAGTTTATCAGGCGATTCATGTGTGAGATTTCCAGTGACAGATATCTTTTTGGCGAACTTGCGTGCCTCCAATACCATATCTTTGTTAAGACTGAGTGGAACCGATTTATGTAAGTTTCGGAAGAAGTTGTGTTCATCCAGGGCTATATGCTCGTCTCGGGAAACTGTGAGAAAGGATCAGTTCAAGACTTCAGGTATTGAACGAACGTAAAACAATTATAACATCAAAAACAAATCCCTCGCTAATAATTTTCTCCCCATCCCCTTCCCAACTAATAAAATTACTGGTCCCTCAATTGTTGTCAATAAACTCTTCTAGAGCTTGCTGAGAGTTTCAACAAAGTAGAGGGCTATTACCAACTTGAGCTACAGTTTTAGGCTTGGCTAAATATTTGTATTATGTAATTAGTCATGACTCAAGTGTATGATGATGTCACTTCTCGAATGGTTTGAACACCTATTGACAAATTAAGGGAAAAGATGTTCCACATGCATTCCTTGATGTTAGTGTAGCTCTCTTTGGGAACATGCTATGGTATCCCTCGTGGCGTTACGAAGAAACATAGCGATGTTAAAGTCAGCTAGCGAGATCATCAAAAGGTTTTGTTCAAGTCGCTCGATCTCAGTATTGGTGGTCAGTATATCAAACCACACAATTATTTCTGGTACACCTTTTCACGATATCTAAGATTTCTAGTGACAGGATTCAGATTCACCAAGGTTTCTTTGTAATTTAACTGGCATTGAACGGTTGCTGTTCGTATGCTGAGGAGTGCATGCGCGCAGATATATAAACTGACAGATTTTAAAGGTTAAAAAAAAATTGCGAGGAAATAAATCACTTACATGTAAAATCAGGAGAAGTTGTTGGGTTTTTCGTAGCTACTGTGTTTGTTAGGGAAGACTTTGATGGTGAAATGGTTGATCCAGGAGAGGAGAAAGGACTGGACCCAAGGATAGAGGATGTCTGGGTAACTGCAGCGCTTGATGTGCCTGCACCAGGAGATTTAACTGGAGGTGGCAGTGTCGAGGAAGGACCAAGACTAGCGGGAGATGAAGCTGGATTAACTACTGTTTTTGACGCACTTGGGGTAATGGAAAGAGGAGTTGAAGAGATTACAGCTGATGGCACAGATAAAGAAGGAGCTAAAGTGGACATAGATGAAGATTGAATAGCTACACTTTTTGTAGCACTTGGCTGCACTGACACCTGACTCGAAGATTTATCAGGTAGCGGTGAAGATGCCGATGACCGACTAGTTTTAGTTTGCTTGTTTGTAGGTTGCGATGAGGATCCGGGTGAGCCACTTGTAGCTGCTTGCTTGCTCTGCACCGGCACCGCTCCGCTGGACTGAGGCGAAGGCGTGGACATTGCAGAGTTAGGAGAGGGAAGGACTCCAGTACTGGTCGTTAAAGAGGACTTAAGATTCGCAGAGGGTGTTGGTGTGACTTTAGCAGAGTCCACAGTGGAGCTCGCTGCATTATTTACTGAACTTGATACCGATTTTATTTCACTATGTTTTTTCATACTCTGACTTGGTGCGAGTTTCTTACTTTGGCTGGGTTTCAGGCTTTGGATTTTGCCACTGATTGGTGGTTTCGGTGTGACTTGAAAGTGTTTCCCTTTCTTGGGTTTTGGTGATGTGGATGTGACCTGAGTAGACATCGGTGGTGTCGTTGTAGGTGATGGACTCGGAGTTTCACCAGACTGACCAAGTTTTACATTGGGAGCTTCCTTCCCTTGTTGTTTACCTGGCACTGCTTTATTTGGATTTTTGCCAGTAGTCTGCACGTGAACGAATATCTTCATTTTACCTCCTTTAGTTGTTCCATTTCCTGTTATGGTGAACTGGTCCTTTTTAGTACCCTTCACTGAGCCTCGCTTTGTTGTTTGGACTTTATCAAGAGAAGAACATATTAAGAACTTACGATTACGTATATGAACCTTTTTCCATTCAAACTTCTCCACTATGCTGTCAACTGGATTTGGTTCTCGGTTTTTCCCGAGAGCCAATCTTCCTCTGAACATAATTGTTTTCCTTCTACCCCATGTGAATTTTACAAATTTACACAGTATTTACACTAGGTTTTCATTTTCTTCATTTTTTCCAGTTTTTATAGCATGAGATCTTCCAATACGTAGTGAGTAACTGAACAACTGGGCCGGGTTCGAAAAGGGGGCTAACGTTATTATAGGATTTAGAGGCAACCTTGGCTTAGAGCGCATATGATATTTAACGTTTTGTTAGTTCGTATCTCAATATCACTCGAAACTAACGGGACAAAATTCAAAATAATAAATTCCCTTTGCACAGTTATAAACTGAGTTAAAAATTTACATTAACCCCTGGTTAGGTTAATTGTGTGTTGAGCAACCCGGCCCTGGATATTTCTCATTTTAAACTTCTAGTTCTTATAAGGGAAAATTAAAGTGTAAGAGGCACCGTGCAAATAACGTTCATCCTGAGGCTGAGTTTATGTTACGGCTTTGTAGTCTAGGACTACAGTGACAGTTTGTTTCAAAGTAACCACTCACCATAGTTCCAGTAAACGCTTATGAAAATGGAAAGGTATATGACAGACAGTTGCACAGCTTTCATTCTGAAGCGTAAAAATGATCAATTAAAGAGAGAGCCGTGGTTAGAACATTAATTCGACTATGAACTTTGGCCAGGGCAGCGTTATCATTATCCCTGAATCCTTAAAATATCAATATCAGAAGAATCGTGAATCCAGTACAAGTAAGAACCAAAGGCTATTGGTTAACAGAAAAAATGTCTCGGGAATAAAGAGTATCAAATATGTATCATGATCTGAGAAGAAATTAAAAGAAAGTAATAAAAAATACGCGTTCATGTTAAATCCTAAAATGTATTCAATCGATCCCTTATTTTATTTGTGATCCCATTAGTTGCTAATAGTCACAGCCAAAACATAGGCAACACTAAAATAAAATCCAAACATCCCTCCTAAAATCCTAGTATCAGTAAAACAGTAAATATTATCTACGAGATTAAGAAGCCATAACTTACCTGGAACCAACAAAAATTCCAGCCACATAAAACGAGTAATAATTTTATGGACTTATTCACTTAAAACAGGTTTAGGCAAATATAGGATATCAGGACCAGCAATATTGTCTGAGTAAACAATAACCAAAGCTTTTGTCATTCTAAAAAATTTTGGTTACAGGTTGCTGTTTTTCTGTTTGTGGTCAGTTTTTGGTCCATGAGATATTCATTTCAACAAAGCATAGGTCTTCTTGAGAAGTATGTAAGACGAGAAAATAAGTTTTATAACATCTAGCACCTACAGCTTGTGTTTTTGGATTCATGACCATTGTTGAAACCGGGGTGTGAGTTTATTCTCCCGACGCCTGGACAATTAACTGGTCGTTTTACAAAACGAGCTGTTAACGTGCCACTAGTCGTGTTTTTTTATGCTGCTACCTCACCGAGTAACCTTAGAAATAACGCATATAGGAAGTAAAGTTCTTTATAGGAAGTAAAGTTCTTTATAGGAAGTAAAGTTCTTTATAGGAAGTAAAGTTCTTTATAGGAAGTAAAGTTCTTTATTTTAGTCTTTAAATACAGAGAAGTTTTCGAATAGGTAACAAAAAATTGGATAGATTAATCACTTCAAAAATAAATCTAGACTTACAACTGTAATAAAAAGATTCTGAAAAAAAGAGAACTGTAGTGGTATCGAGGGTATCGAAACACATGCACATACCTTAAACCATAGCTTATAAAGTAGATAATCGCAACAGTTCGTCTGAAATATTTTTCCGCCGGTCAGTGACACAGCTATACGTGTATTCAAATCATAGCATTACGAAAGATGCGTTTTTTTAATTTCAGGCATAGTGATAAAGCATCTGAAATACTGGGCGGATGCTGCGGGTTGGACTCCTGTCAACATCACGATTTCGCTTTTGTATCCTTAATCCATAACTTAAGCTGCTGTTTTGCGCGTTAGCCATCCGTCAGAACGATGGTTAATCCTTCCCTTCGCCATTTGCTCGTTAGCCCTCCGTAATTTGCGCTGAAATTCGAAACATCAGCTTTAAAAACCCTTTAATTTATATTAGCGACTCAGTTCATAAAACCAATCTTGTAAAACCTCCAGCGAAGCAGCGATTAGCACGCTTTCTTCAGAAACTCGCCCCCTTTATGCATTTAACCAAGTTATTGGTTTTAATTTTCCACCTGATTGTTTGGGAGATTGGCGGGCGTTGTCTAGAATAATCGAAAAGCGTTCTGAGCCAATGTAATCCTAGATTACTTTTAAAATTAGTTTTACGACCTGATACAAGCTTGTTCTAACGGTAGGAACTAAAAAGCAATTTGATGCATTCCAGCGGATAGGATTACAGCAGATCTTTATCGGAAACCACAGAACACTGTACTCAACCTAAATTTCAGGAATGTCGTGCTGAAGCTAAGGTGTTCCAAAGAGCAACCGTAGCACTTCTCTACAGGTGACCATAACCTGTTGAGCAAATGCTAAGGGCCTGATATGTACCATTTTTTCCCAAAATGGAAGACAAAGGAGTTTTGATCGACCTATCAAGAGAAAAAGTGTCCGACAACAAAGTAGAATTGTAATAGAAGAAAGAAAGGAAGAAATATTATATTCGACCACGAAATAGAGAAAAGGACATTTTTCGTCTCGTCTCGAGCGTGTGACAAAAGTGAAATTTTCTGAATCTCCATGAGGAAACGAATGCTTTTTTTCTGTCCCACGCTCGTATGAAGACGACAAACATCCCTCTTCAAAGCCGAATTGCGTGTGTTTCAGCCACTTGAGGCGAGGAATTGACTGCTCATAAGTTTACCACGCGTTTAGATATCAGTTTCAAAATACAGCTGTATTGTTTATTGAACAGCTTTTAATGTCTTAAACATGGTTTGTTTGAACTACGTATCAGTATTGAAACCGAGATGTCCTTAATTACTCTGTTCCAAGTCATAACACACTTCCCATAAATACATATTTAGCATATGTTAAAGAAAAATTAAAGTTTTCTTCTCGTTTGTTTTGTACACGTAAAATTAATTTCAGATTATTCTTTCAAAATAACTTCTTGGTTAGGCAATTGATTTGCTATTGGTCTGCAAAAAGACGAATCAAAAACTCCTTTCTTCACGTTATTGATATATATGAGCTTGTTTCCCAGGTTTCCGCGGGGTCTGTAACGTGCGACGAAATACAGGCAATGCAGATTGTTGATTTTCCCATAGGTGATGCCAACGCCCAGCCTTCTGCTTCCATTCCACGTCATTTGTGTAAAATGTCTGAAGGAATACTTATCTGTCGATGGTGCTTGAAAGTTGTATTGGCAACCTTCGTCATACCTGAGGAGCAATAAATTAAATTGAATGAATAATTTTATATTTATCTCGTTCCTCATCGAGTTTTACTTTTTTAACGAGACACTCAACATTGTGCTATGCCGCAAATGTTCTAAAACATTCAGAATTCTTTTGTTAATATATTTTTTTAAGGGAAGTTTTTTCAAATTGTAATTTGTTGGTTTTGACGGTCACATTACAAAATTTATAACGTATCCAATCATTGACAAAGAAGAGGAGCGCAAGAAATACTGAATTCTACTGGAGACAGTTTACACACCTGAGTCGGTAAATATGAAAAATGAGGGGAAACCAGGGTCATAGACGGGAAAAAGTACGAGAAGACAAGATTTAAAAGACGTTAGGGTCAGTAGCCCGAGGATTTCTTACCATCGCTTCATTATCTGTCTCAAAGATTTTCCAGGATCAGGTCGTGTTGTCGAGCATCTAAATCCCAGGTTTTCACCTTCGTTTTTAGAATTGAGTACAAAATTTTGTTCTGGGCGTAGCATTTGACTTCTAGCAACTTTGAGAGCATATTCTTGAGCATCTTTTCGGAGGTTTGTATCGAGGGTCAGGAGAGGCGCCTCGTGGATAGAACGATAGTAATTGTGAAGCTCTAGGGCTGTACGATCTAAAGCTGAAACTAAATCCAAGCTCATGGTTAGGGAGTCGTTCTAAGCTTATTTCCTTTTCAAAACCCTTATTTCGATTGCACCTGTCTCACACCACCACCGTGGCCTCTATATTGCCTTCTGCTACCACTGCCACTTCCACCGTCACCAAATGAGCTTCTCACCTCTGTCACCAATACTATTGCTACCTCCACTATCCATTCCACTCTCTCCAACACTCTATTCCCATCGCCGCTACTCCCTCTCAACTTTTTCCGATGCCGATGTCGTAATATTTCTGGGGTCATCTCACACAGCTAACCTTGCCACTATCACTAAAGCTGTCACTGCCCGACCCACTGCCATTTCGAAAAGGGTTTAGCCATTGATGATGTATGAAAAGGTTAATGGACGCTACGAACTGAAATATGTTGCTACATTTGAATGTTCTCGACTGATGTGGGTTGAATATTTTACTTACATGGCTCGGAGTTTGTTGAAAGTTTTCCATCAAGATACTCTGGTACATGTGTTGGGGTAGTGACATTCACTGTTGCGCTTGTTGTTGTTGGTGTAGGTGTCGGTGGGTTCCCTGTCACGGACCCAATCGTCGTAGAATTTACGGTAGGAACCGGTGTTGAAGGTAGCGTAGAGGGGGGAATTGTTTCAGATGGAGGAGTTGTTGTCGCGTTTATAGTAGGAGCAAGAGTTTTCACCACTGAAGTTGGGGGAACAGTTGTCTTAGCTGTTAAGCTCAAATTCGACTCAAGGTGAAGGTCTACTTTTAATTTCCCAGCTTCATATGAACCGTTTCCTTGGATTGTAAATTCTGCGAATTTAAAAGTATGTACATTACATAGTTGAATTTTGTGGATGCTTCCTATAGATGCATTTATTAACTTTGTTTCCAGCAAATGACAACAACGTGAAACATAATATGAAAACAAAACAACGAGAGTTAGGAACAGTATCAGAAATCTAGTCAGGATAAGAGTATGTCAGTTTTATCTGAATATACAAATTTTGGGTCCCAAAGCAGAAATACACTTTGAATTTATTTTTAATATTACTTCGAATGTTTTATTCCTCTTATTAACTTAAAAACCGTTTGATTCTTGCTGTGGGAAAGGAAAATAAAATTTTCATTAAGATTTTGAAAGGGCCTAACGGCACAATAGGTTTACCTTCTTTATCCTTCCCATTATTTTTAATGATATTTATGGTAATAATAAAAATGGTAATAGTAAACATAGTAATAATGATTTTGATAAGATTATAATGTTGATAATTGAACAACAGATAATGATGATATTGCTGACAATGATGGATAATTATTCACCGAAGTGGAGAATAGTCGTAGATATTTACCCAACCGCGAAGCAGCAAGGTAAATATTTACCCCTTTCACCAACACAGTGTGGCATATATACTAATGATAGTAATCCATTACTAACACCACTAATAATAATAACAATAACCCTGAAATTTTGACAACGATAAATATAATTTTTGTTCGAAAAAAATTAATTGAGTTTAGCCTTGACAAAACTTTAAAAAGATCTAATCCTTCCTCTGTACTTGTTAATTAAATATTACAGTGAATAAAACGATCTTTACACTATAAATGTAATTTTAACTTACCATTCGCGGCATATGTTGCATGAATTATCAGGAAAATGAAAGGCCAGCTCATGATGGCTATACGTAAGAGAATAGAGAACTTTTCGGTGTAAAGTTGATTATTCAAATACAAAAACGCAAATTCTTATCTGTGCTTAAACACAAAAGATTCTGAGAAAGTAGGTTTTGCTAAATTTTTGGAGCATTTCAGCGAAATGACTCTCAGAATTCTTAGTTCATGCCTTTTTTGCACAGCTTTGTGTAACGCTTCAGGTATCGTTTTAAATTCCACATAGGCTAGGTGAAGTGATGTTCGACGTAGACTTGGCACCTTTAGAAAGGCGACCATAAACACCCAACTTGTCCGAAATCTGTAACTTTAAAACCACAAAGACATTCCAAACGTTCCCATGCCAGTATACTGTGTATCATGGTCTTGAAAAATGACAATTTTTGTGAGAGGGAGACATTGAGATAAATCTATCCTTTTCCACTTTTAATTTTCTCAATAGATTTAGACACTTATTGCGTCACCCTCAAAGTAAAGTTAGATTTCGTTTGTTTTGTCTGGAGATGTAAAACGATGTACGGAAAGCAAATGAATCTTCTAATTCGTGAAATACTCGTTTATCACCTCAGAATTTGAATCAGACTTTCGTTATTTAAACGTTTTCACTACTTTTTAACACTTAGGGAAAAATCGTTAGTAGCTGTCTCTTAATGGCTAATTCGATTCATTCCTTAAGCCTTAAGAAAAAAACTTCTGGAAAGCAAGATCTGCTACGAAATGAAGTCGTTTAGTAACCTTGCGGTAAGTAAGTCACAGCTCAGGAAATGTATCGATTTTGCCTCAGGAAAACAGAAAAAGCCACATCCTCCTCAAAACTCACCTACTCCAGGCTTCAGGAAGGCGTCACAAAAATGCAAATAACTGAATTGCTTTTGTTTCAATTTGTGCAAATATTTGAACAAAACCACCATCAATATTAACTCTACGCTCACTTGAAAGGCGCTGGTATTCAGCATGTGACCGAATTCAGTAACTCAAGACCTCTGCTCATATACCAGTCGCAAGAGAATCTGTCTTGTCAACTGGTAGATGTCTTGAAGAGTTGGTTTGACAAAAAAATTAGAATAAAACGAAATTTTCCGAAACACGAATTTATTTGCCAATAGCTCCTTTTCCAGCCAAGTTTTGGTCAGTTTCTCTCTATCTGAAGAGCCAACCTAGTCTTAAAATCTCAGGGTGATTTCACGAATAAATGAGTAAATGAAGTGCAACACTTTATTTCCCAGGGAAAGAGAGAATTCATCTCCTTGCTAGCGCAAATAAATCGATACAACGCCGACATGAAGACGTAACACAGCAACTTTTTATCCTTCAGTTAGACTGATTAGGAATTGTTGAGTCTTATAGCACGACCCAATTAAGCTGGCTATGCTGTTTAAATTATGAATCACCGTAGTGTGAAGCTGGTATCATTAGACTACCATACATTTGGCCTTGGTGTATAAACTTTGGTTCTTATAGATTTAAAACCCTCAGAGAGCCTTCCTTGAGCTTGACAAACTTCAAATTGGGTCCTTGAAACATTATCATAAAGTCATTGAGAAACAAATTCGTTGTCAATCATGGTGATGATCAATATCTTCAACAGTCAGGTATCACTGATGATGGGAAAATTTTCGTTACATTTTTTCCTGGTGAAGTCAGTTCATCGATAGCCAACCTTTTACATAGTGACTTGTAGTCTTGAGGTTTCCTCCCATTGCAAATTCGCACCCAAAAAGAGCAATCCGCCCTACCAAATAGACCTTCACTTTTCAGCCCAACCCATGGCAATAATATTTCAACTGAAATTTGTTTTCGTAGTAATTAATGTGACTGTAATGGAACGAAACTCCCTTACAGATGATCCAATCTTCCATAAAATTCAGACCAATTCGGTTCAACGCGTAGCTGATTTGGCAAGTTTTCAAACGACAATTGTAGCGCTCTTAAAAGCATCAAGTAACATAATTACTCGACTTAATACCGTACTGATTCATTTCCGATATGGTGTTTGTCTTAAGATGGCATTTTGTATTAGCTTATTTCAAAAGTATGGCAATGACAGCATGGCTATGGTAAATAAATTTGTATTTCATGTCGTCTATAAGAAACTTGTCTCTAAAACAACAATTTATTAGTCACTTTTGGGAATATCCCGGCTTGTGGTATATAATAACGACAAATAATCGGGTAAATTACTGAGTTGTACCTCATCTTTTTTTCCTTATCATGTCAATTGTTACAAAGGAATAGTAAATCATTTCAAAAAGGAATTATACTAAGTTTTAAAATATGATTAAATTAGTATTGGTGGAGACTTCTCACAATTATGTTATACCATTTTGGCCAGATCACATCTCGCACACTCTTAAGATTTCGCCTTTTTGACGAACAGTATGATGGGTCGAAACTTCCTTTCATGACGTTTTCTTCAAATTTGTTGTCAATATTTCCACTAGGGCTGTATCTTCCTGCCACATAATAACAAAGGAAGCCGTCTTCATCTTTTGTGGCCCATCCGAGGCCGAGTTGTGAAGTCGAGGCCCAAACAATCTGTGTAAAATGTCCAGTTGAGGGTGACCATTCTGGCTTGCTAAAATCGTACTTACAAATCTCGTTATACCTTCAGTACGAAGAAAAAGGAAGAAAAAAAATTTCTTTTTCTTAGACCTTGTTGTTCCAGAACTAACCAGAAATGAGTTTTTCCTCAAAATATGGATGCATTTTCAAAAGGAAAAGTCGAAAAAAGGGAAATTATCCAACTAGATAATATATATCTATATATTTTTTCCTTTTTAGGACAATCACTTGGCATAGTGGAATAAAACCAAAGTTTCCCTGTATAACATTCCACATTCCACGAAGAAAGTGACGCACGAGCTCAGAAGCTCCTGATTAGATTATGCCTTTTTTTGACTGAGGTAGACCTATCTGTTCATCACGAGTAAGTCTCTAATTTTTAGGATTCGTGCAGCATCATGTTTATGGAAATCTTCATAGGATTTTACCAGGTCGATCGGAGAAGATTTGGTCATAATCTACTCACCATCTCTCAACAACTTTAGTTATAATCTCCTCGGGAGTTTCATCTGAGGCACACAACTTGCCAAGATTCTCTCCTTGATCACCCAACTCCGAGTCGTCAGTGTGGACAAGTTTACCCTGAGCTGCACTTTTTTCAGCGGTCTTCTGGGCATCGCTGTTCAACTGTGAGCTCAAAATTAGAGCAGGTGATTTGTGTATTCTGCGATAAAAGTTGTGCTTATCCAATCCCTTTTGGAGAACGTCTACGAGTAAAAAACAAAGCAAAAAGGAACTGATTTAAGTGATGGACATTTTTTACTTAATTGAGAATATCAAAAAAGAACAAATCAGGCTATGCAAGTAGGAACTATAGTATCCACTCGTTCTATTTCTCAACGATTTGAACAAGTCTCTCAAAGGCAGGCGTTTTCAGGTAAGACATTGCAAAGCGATTAAACGCTGGTATTTTGGTATGCCTGTTGATGACGAATGAATTGGACATGAACCTCGCCAAAAACTGAACAACCCTACCATTATACATAGGAGGACATATAGCTACAATTCACATTTATCATGTACCTCAACTCTAGCCTCACAAAAAAAATGGTGAGGTGGATCATTTGTGTTATCGGGGAGACCACAAGGTCCAACTTGTTCCCTATGTCAGATTTTTTTTCCGATGAAATCCCCATAATTACCTGCCTCCGCGTCGATTCCTCCGCCTACCGTTGCTGCTGACACCGTGACCGATGTTGTAGGACTTAGATTACCACCGTCGGTTGCTTCTGTTGCCTCTGTGAGGAGAGTTGTCTCAGACGCCGAGGAAGGGGTATGATCAGTGATACTGCTGCTCGAGGGGGTTGATGCTGTTGTACTACTGGCCGGCTCCTCCGTTGTTGGAACACTCTGCGTGGTAGCTTCGGTGGTTGAGGGCGACTCTGTCGAGGCTGCCTCTGTACTCGACGATGTTGGGGTCGTTGACACAGTGGTTAGCGGTAAAGCGTTGGTTGAGTAAGGTGGATTATTTGTTCCTTGCATAGAATTAATTCCGCCCTGATTACAAAGAGCGTCAAAAACACATGGTGGACACATGAGCGGCGACAGACAGAGATCTGCAGTTTTTGATGAACTGTCGTATATAAGCTGTCCCTCAACAGGAATTCGTAACGAGCCTGCATTTGCTGTTGAACAAATATAAGAATAAGAAAACGCAGATAACAACCGTGTTTGAAAGATATCATAGTTGTACGATAAACGATTATTTCTAATGAACAAAATGTCTTACCTCCCACTGAAAACAAACCTAACCAAACGACCAGGCCATGATAATTCAAACAATGTAAATTCTTTAGACTCCTGATAAATGACATTAACAGAACAAAAATAGGATTACGTTCTATGGAAGAGGCAAGGAAAAAGACCGAAATTTTTCTTTTCTAAGGATTTCGATAATCGAGCATTTGTAATTAAAAAATCAAGTGACTTCAGTAATTAAAGTAGATGCATAGAGATCTATATTCATGGAATTGCTTCACTAAATCATCTCATAAATAAAATTTAGCTGGCTAGTTTTTTTTCAAAGTTACTTACATCTGCCAGGTTTTAAAAAAAGTAGAAATTCTGTGTTGGAAGTTGAGGTTCTTGATCTCCTGTCAGCCTTGATACTCCCAGAACCAAAGGATTGAAACTACCCACCTGTATTTACATGACATAAGTTATCCTATTTAATATCGATGTAGAGGACAATAACCCCAGAAACGTGATATAATGAATTTTATGATAACGCGTAATTCCAAATCTTAAACATGCACAGAGCAGGAAAATCAACCATTCATTTCCATTTGTATGCTCTGTGGCTTGAGATTATCTCTAAACTTCCACTCCAGGAGGCGACGAGCGTGTAAAAAATGGCACGGAACTGTGGACGGTCTCAACTTTTCGCCCAGTGGTATCAAGGACAATTTTTTGTTTACGCGTGTAGTTCCGAAATGTATCAATCATACGAAGATACCCCCCCTCCCCCCCCTCCTGTCTTGTGGTTTTGAAAGAAGACAGAGGAAGGGACCTGACGTATGAAACTCGTTTTATAGGAGCAAAGGAGCGGATGACATTTCTGACGCTCCTTTGAACCAATTGTTTTATAACATTTTCAACCCGATGGAAAATTTTTTCTCAAGGGATTTGTTTGCTGACGTCATGTCCGTGCAAAATAGGAATATGAAGCACGCTCGCGCAATTTAATTTGATTAGACAAATTTACTAGCTATGTTATAAAAATGGTTGAGCTCTTCTACATCTCTTGTTTATTCTTTTGTGATCTCATGTGGATATTCAAAGAAATTTAAGGGTTTTCCCATCCTGGGCTCCATAAGCAGTTGTTTCAACCCGGCGATTTTTTTATTTTGTGAGGTTTTTTTTCTTTTTTTTATCGAACTTCACCAACACTGCTTTTAAGCAACTTAAAAGTTGAATTGAACTGCCATCAAGAAAGTTTATGTCATTTCAGTAGAAAAGTTGGGATAGAATTCATTCGAGCATAGTTTATGCGTGCTTTTCTGGGTAATATTTTCATACCAAAATATGTTTTAAAATTGCCTTTCATTAAATATTTCATTTATATCTATATGAAGACGACATCATACCATCTCTTTGTGTAGTCAGATAACGATAAAATTTGCTTTCATACGCGGCTATGTTTTACCTATGTTGGTGTGAATCCCATAAAATCAACCGACCAGCTGTTTCTTTAAATGCTTTTTTAATTGCCAGTAAATAAAATCAAAAAAGTGTAGGCATAGCCATTATCTTTCGCCAAATACAACTTTATTTCACCTTTCCAGAAATGCATCACACAATATGGCTTGCCCTTAGTTAACCCTTTAACGTGACTAACATGTAACTTCTCTGAATAATTTCCACACTATTTTTAGCAAACAGTCAATGAGAATACTCAAACTTATCAGGTAGAAGTTGTTATCTTGATCTTTCACCACATTCTCGCAACTAATTTACAAGGAATTGTGTAGTAGCAAGAGGGGAGAATTAACAATCAAATCTTGGGAGTTAAAGGATTAAAGGACCAACTCTAAGGTGCTCTTTCTTTTAATTTTTCCCGAATTTGGTTTTCGAAAAGGCTTACTTCTCTTCCCGTAATTATTTGAAGAACGACAAATCTGCACGTTAAAGCTTCCCTTCGACACATTCTGTGAATAGGCACCAACTAAGTTTCCTGGTTCTAGATATCGGCCGACCACAAACAGGCAGTTGTCAAATCTTTGTGAGCCAAATGTGTAACTTCCCCTGGCGAACCCAATGCCAAGTCTGGTGCTTGTTTTCCACACAACTTGAGTAAAATGACCAGTAACCCCAGAACTTACCCCAGGATTGTCGAAATTGTAACCACAAACCTCTTTATACCTAAAAAATGAGACAGCGGATCAGAAGTTATTCTTGTAGCACTGCAATGGCACGCATATTTGTGAAACAACATCCATTTATTGATGGGCAGACGATTCAATGCATGTTTTTCTTGGTCAGTATTAACTTCAAGGGATGCCGCTCAGTGAAAAACTAAAACTAAAACTAATTTCAGCGACATTTGTAGAAACAGTTATAGAGCAACCTTGAGCAAAACCAATATAATCCCGGAATACATTCAACACTGGCTCATCTGGGAATTGTTCTGAGCTTTATTCCAAATCAATAAAAGTCAAGTTCAAATAATATTTTATCAAACTTGCATTGCCTCAGATGAAGCTTACCATGCATCAACAACCTTCTTAACCAGATCTGCATCACTTCCACTGGCGCATTGTAACCCCAGGTTTTCTCCTTGGTTTCTATTGTTTTTGTCATGTTCAAAAACACTCTCACGGGCAAGTTTTTCTGCATATCTCTGAGCGTCATCGTTAAGTTGGGAATTAAGGCTCATTATTGGAGCGTTGTGTACTCTGCGGTAGTCGTTGTGCAAATTAAGTCCAACTTGTCTTGGGTTGTCGCCTGCAAATGAAAACTTGAATTTCGTAAAGTAAGACCGTATTTTAGAGCCGTTCCTCTTCCTAACTATGTGGAGGATCGCTGTTGATCGAGATGTGCTACTTTCAGAAAACTTAAAGAATATCATACGCCATTTATTAAAATGGAGACGACGCCCATCCGTGAAATGTTCCACTGCGATATGGAACATTTAATTGTACAAGTCATCATTTAGGTGCAATGTAGAACTTGTCATGTTCGATTCGGTTGTTTTTCTAAGAATCTGAGAACGCGAAGATTAGAATATAATCCGGCAGGAACCTATTTTCAGTTTTATCATATTATTATTATCATTAATAATTATTGTTATCATCATTTTATCAGGAGTTTTTTTTTTGTGTCATTGCAGTGCCGTCGTACCTGCATTCCTTATTCTGGGCGATGTGCTGAACCCTGGCGTTGTACTGAATCCGGAGGTCGATCCGGGTATTGGTGCTGTACCAGTATTGGCAGCTCCCCCAGTGGAAGATCCAGAAGTGTAGCCACTTGTAGGTAACATAGGTGTGGGGCTAAGTGGTTGGGCACCAGGTCCACTGCTTTCTTTTCTTGCACCCAGGCGAAGTTCCACGTCACCATTTGGTAGAATATCCACCACTCCGTTTACTGAGTATTTGCCTCCATTTAATGGCTGCCCTATGGCTTAAAATAGAGAGCACAACGGGCAGAAATGGGTGAGGTGTCACAAAAATAAGTTAAAAAGAGATATACAAAGTACCGAAGACTTAATGAGAAGTATTTCTTAATGAATTTTTGTTATTATTAGCTCTTATCTCGACGACAAGCAAAATACTTAGATACGGTAAGAGAATATAAACGCCATGCGCTATCGGCCTACTTAGTCGTTAGAGACAGCGTGATGTTGGCTGAGGTTTTTTATCCCATGAACTGAGGGTACATAGGTGTCTATTAAGACGCAAGAAAGTAATAACAACTAGTCATCTTTTTTAATCAAATTTACATAAAATAGACAGGAACCAACGGAGAAAAGACACTTCACCGTTTCCATCTTTGTGAAACAACCTTTTTGCCTCTGGAAATTTTCGTCAAGAAACTGTTCGAACACTAGCACAGTTCAGAATGGAGATGACGTAACTGGTGACTTCAGGTAACTTTTCAATTTCAATTAAATATGTTCCGTCTACTGGTCTACTTACCAACATAGGAATTCGATGTGCCCAGAAAAACCAGTAGCATAATCTTTGCGAAAAGCCTGTAAAGAATTGTGACGATTAAATTTGTCTTGTAAGAGTCTTTTTGCGAGGAGGTTTCAAGCCACTAAGTCAAAATAATTATTTTAAAAAAATTACTTCAATGGAAAATACCGAGCTAAACTTTTTTTCCACTAGATGGAAAACTTAGTTTACCATAGTTACTCTAGATGACTTTTTTTTTTACTCCAGGCGCGATCTTCTTATATTTCTGAAAGCTTCCGATGATGCTTTGTTTTCAAAAATTAAAGTAGCCATTTGGCTTTCAGGTTTCCCAAGATGGTGATGCTCCATTGGGAAACTCAAACTTAATATCTAATGACATGCGTTTCGGTTTCTTAAATTGTACTGAGCTAATATGAAAGGAAAACAAATGAAATATTTGCCGATTATGTTAACTATATGATTGTTATTTTAGACATTTTTACTTACATGTTTTGAATCCTCTTCAGCCCTCTTCAAGAAACTGTACAATGACGATCACCCAATGCTTGTTTCAAAGCTTTAAAAAGGACAAAAGTAAAACGTACAAATTCCCACGGAAACTGTGATTAATAAGCAATATCCCAAGCGCACAGTGCTACAACGAATCGAGGTTTAGACCTAGAATCTCTACCTTATATCAAAATCTGTCTCCTTCACTCATTACGTGATTTAAATTTAAGTCATGTTTTATTGATTTCCTGACATAATTTTGTACCCGATCGTCCATGTGTCAGTTTACCACGCCTCGCACCATGAATGCAACTCTATTTTCTCTTTTTCAAGGTTTTTTCATATGTGAAATTGTGTTTTATCTTTCCAATGAATTTTCAGCGCTTTCGAAAAAAAAAACGCACTTATTAACTATAGCAACCAAACGTACTGGATTCGATTCGACATGATTTTCCCACCGAGATGGCTTTGTATCAGCCTCGTGTGATACGCCCTCCTAAACTCAATGAAAGCTTATTGGATTTCGTAATTTTTACAAAATTGTAGGGATACATATAAGGTTATTCGCCAGCCGTGAGGTCCGTATGGGGAAAAAACTGTGCCCGAGGAATACCGCCCTAAATACCGCCCTCGGCCTATGGCCTCAGGCGTTACTCAAGACAAAGAGCAAAGTTTTTCTAAATACGGAGCGACCTAGGCTGCTGGGTAACATTATTATTTTTTTTTACTAGGATTTAGAGAAATGCTTTCCAAAAGAACCCAAAGGTTTTGGGGCTGTAATTGCGGCAAGATCCTCCATAAGCTAAACAATTTTTGAGCGAGTAAACGTAAGTTAAATCAGGTAATGCAAATTAAAGAGAGAGTCTTCACCGAGAAAATTTTATATGTGTAATGACAAAGATGATTTAAAAGGCTTCCAAACAAACTTTGAAACACTTTTTTTAAAGGTATCTGTCACAACCTAACACCTGTCAATTACGGAGCGCGTAAGATCACAAAGCGCATGTACACTTTTGAAACAGTGGCACTAGTTTGGCAAACGAACTTAAGTTTAGGAACTGTCACGACAGTTTTTCCTTCAAAAGCATTCCATGATCTTACAGCAAGAATAATTCACTTTCATCTATGATTAATGTACAAAGAATACCTCTGCTCAGCCAGTAAATGACAAAGAAAATAACTGTAAGTAGATTCAAATGCATGTTTTGAAGTTGTGGGAGTTTGCTTGATAGTTTGCTGCAATGACGTGTATAAATCTGGTCTTTCTTCCACCTAAAAACCAATTCAAGTGAGACCCAAGGGGAATTTGATGCGCCTTTTTCTCGTTGAATTCCTTCGGTGTTTTTTGTGCAATTTACGGTACAAATGACCAAATTGAACAGAATTGCAAAGACTTACTAAAAAAGTATTTGCAGTAGAACTGGAGACTTCGCTCACCGTTTTACAATGAAGAAATTGTTTGATAAAATTCAAATATTGAATGAATAAAAAAGTCCATCGTTAAAAAAATTGAATAGTAGACAAATACCTCACAAGTTCAACTTTCTGAGCTACTTTTTGCGAAGGATCAAAGTTATATAGAGACAGTTTTTAGGCCGCGTGTCAACCGATTTAATAATGATACATTTGCGACCCCAAATTAGAGGATTTAGAGGGCACGGTAACGAGTCCTGTAACCTGATTCAAAGTTTGTTTGAAAGCCTTTTAAATCACCTTTATCATTACGCATATGAAAATGTTTCGGGGAAGCATCTCTCTTTAATTTGCATTATGTACCTCTATTTTAACTACCATTTACTCGCTCAAAAATTGTTCAGTTTATAGAAGATCTTGCCTTATTCACTGCCCTAAATCATTCTTGTTCTTTTGGAAAGAATTTCGGTAAGTTTTTTTTAAAATATTTTATTTACCGGCTAAGGGTCGGTCCGTATGGTGAGAAACTGTGACCTCGGTCCTGAAAATGCTGTCCGAGGCTGTAGGCCGAGGGCAGCATTTTACATTCTCATCTGCTTACTATTACTGTCGCGCGCCTTGCCTTGAAGAAAAAGCCGTAATCTTCCTTCCGATCCACGGACACGAATCGGTGAAAAACAGGGAGGAAGCGTCAGTCGGTATTTCATTAATACGAGAGGCATTTCATAAATAGAAAAAAAAGAAACCTCCAAATTTGAATTCGACCTGAGAATTTGAATAGGTAAACACATACATGATTTCGAGTGCATTTTGATATGAATAAGCCCGATTAAATTTTTCTGACCAATAAAAACTGTACGGCCTGTTTGACACGTGCGATTAGCAGTCCAAAATCGTTCCTGCCTCCCCTAGTGCAGCCTCCTCTTCTACAATTTAACTTCTCGCTTTTTTGGACGTTAACCCTTTTTACCTCGGCGAAGCTTCCTGAATTATCTCGCGAGTCAGCGTCTGACTCAGTGAGGTGTAAAAGTTCAATATGAAATGCTATATTATTTTCAATAAGAAAAAACGATCTTCGGCACTACTACTAAGCAAAAACTCTCAAGTCTAATTCGAAATAATTTTTATCACTCAACAGTCTTTCGTTTGTTTTGCTTTCGTTTTACGAATCCTTCTAGTCTATTTCCATCTTCCGAAAGCAATATCAGAGTTTCCATGGCTTCAAGTTTAATGGTTTTTCATGATTAATAGTCGCAGAATTTTTGAAGGTGGGACTGTTTATTTGTATCCATCTGTGGCCTTTAAAAATCGCACGGTACCAGAAGAGGTTTCTTCTGAGGTCCAGCCTCCGACGGCTCGTTGTCTGTAACTCATGGCCAACTTCATAGCCCCTGGTTCAGCCTGAGGCACGGGACACGTGTTTTTGTCAAAGCACACCCACGACAAAGCCACCCACCATGAATTGCCTATGGCTGGAAGCCCTTTATCATACAGCCTACTGCACCTACAGGTTCCAAGCTAGCATTTCGGAATGAACAATTATACGGTTGCTTCAATGTATGGTTTTTTTTATCATAGAGCATAAGACTACTCCACACAGATCCTAGTCTTTCAATGGATGAAGAAATACAATAGAGGAAAATGAAAAAATAGATCAAAGATAATTGATCTAATATTCACTTTGTACCTATCATTTGCCTTTGCAAAAGTTGCTTAGAATTAGAACGACAAAGAAACGTTTCCTTGGCTGTGTACTGGTTCACTGGGCTAGGTTATGTATATTGGGCCACGCGCTGCGTACCTGCTTTGGTAAAAACTCGAAAATTTCGGCATTTAAGTGTTTCATTCACGCGAAAGCACGCTGGAAACTCAGACGTCAAAATTTTGAACCCTCAATTTTACAGTCGTTGGTGTCGAAAACTTAACTATGGTGGTGTGCAGGCTTTGATTTTCTAATCTATGCATAACAAAGGTGTAGTTGCATGGATGCGTCATTTTGGATTGCAAAATAGCGTTTTGCTGTTGAGCAGATTATCAAACTCTCTGAAGAATGTTAAGATTACGGTTAAACTGAACCGATCAGACGTTTTCTTTTGCTCACTTCAACGAATTTTTTGCAACATTGCATTATTCACCGGTGTTCTTTTTAGAAAAAACTCTTTGTTCGATGGATTCGGGCAAATTCTCTTCCATCTGAAATTGTAGTTTGTTTTTCTTGTCAATGGAAGATCTGCATTGTGGTAATACAGGTAATCTGTAGACTGCTTTAATTGGCTGAAAACGATATGGCCAAATTGACTCCGAGGACTTTATGTTCACATGAAGATAAAAGAGGCCGGGCCCACAAATGGAACGAATGGAAAGTACGCCCTAAATAGTGAGTTTGGTGTACAGTAATGAGTGATTTTATTTCATAAATAACATGTTGTTAACTTTGTTTCAATGGAATACGATTTGCACGAAAAATCTGTAAGTTCCATTAGCAATACCCTCGTTAATTTAAGCTATACTTATGATGTGGGAGTTGCATATTTGCCTTGTTTGCCCGGAAGCAAGTAAGCTTTTTGATCCTGTCTTCTATTCTCTTACAGGCAATAATGAGGGTTCGGCTTGTGAGGGGTATTATGACGTCTATTCAAATTTAAAGTCAAACTGTAACTCTCAGGAAGTTTCCTCTAGGGGATCCTTCTTTTCTATCATTATTGGAATCACTGATATGATAAGTATCTTTAGTATTAACTATCGATATGTCATATTTGCAATAGCGTCATCTCCATTACTCCTTCAGGTGAAATTCCATTACAATTTTAGGTGTCTCTGACGCTTTTGTCACTCACTTATACTCTAAGATGGCTTAGTTGAATTATTCTGGAAGTAAAATACCAGACCACAATGACCTTGGCAGGGGCTACAACGAACCTAAAGTCTCGATCTGCGATCGATCAATCGATTCCTTAATTATTAAAATAATATCAAATATAGAACATTTTTGCGCCTTCTCTGTGAAGTAGTTAAGTTGAATGTACAACAAAGACGCCCACAATGATAGTTATGAATGACACCGTTTTCAAATACCCCAGAAATATATATATATATATATTTTTTTAATTTCCAACACCAGTATTAGTAAAAACCTACACACTTCTGCTACGAATTCTTGTTTTTTATTATTTGGAATACAGTATGTGTCGACTTAATGGTCAGTTAAACTTGGTCTTAACCTCGTTTATTGTAAAAAGCTTTGTTACCAAAGCGGTTTCTCTTATAAAGAGGAACTAGGGTAAAGGCAGGTGGCTTTATCTTTGGTGTGCAGTATGAACCGTTGAAGTTCCCTCTCCTAACGTTATTCCTTAGATTTTGTGGTCCTATGTTGTTTCCAGCAGGACTGTACCGTCCCACTACGTAAACACAGACATATCCAGGAAATTTGATGTTTCTTCCGACAGAGTAACCAACTCCAAGCTTTCTGCTTCCAGACCACACGACTTCGGTAAAATGTCCCGTATCGGAGTTGAAATTTGGCTGGTCAAAGTTGTACTGACATACCTCATCATACCTATAAAGAATTTGTTGTTGGTTATTGTTTGGTTTGATCTTTGAGTATCAACTATGTTTAATTTGTTTCAGTTTAAAATATGATTTTTTTTTAATTTCATCGTTGAAGGATCCATACACTGAAAAACGTTAACACCATAACTTTTAGCTCTTCGATTTACTGGACAAAGCAGTAGTAAGAAGCACTCTTACCAGCGTTTAGCTACATTCCTTGCCATTTTTTGTACTTTTAAGTAGGTCAAAGGACCATTTCGAGCAGGAACGCAGGACATTCCAATGTTCTCTCCAACTCCTCGTCGTGCGAGAATTGCACTCGATTGGTGCTCCAAGACTCCCTTAGAGGCCATTTTCTGAGCGTAGTTTTGAGCATCGCACATCATGTGATCATCCAGTCTTAGGTCAGGGGAGCCGTGGACTCTTCGGTAAGCATTTTGCGTTTTCTTCAAATCATTGGCGACTATTATCACATAAACTGAAGTGGGAAATAAACTAAATGTAAACATTGGAATAATTTCCATTTCGTTACTCAACCAGAAATAAAAAAAAAACCCACTCGTTATATTGGACAGCATAAAAAAATATTTTCAGTGATGTTTTGTAAAAGGTAAATAATCCAGGAGTTGTAACGTGGCTCATTACTTGGATCATCATATTTTTTTATATCATCGTCATTATTAATATTATTTTAATCTTTATTACTGCTTGAATCGATTACTCTTACCATTTAGGGGTCGCGGGCAGGGTGAAGTGGGTGCAACCTGAGCGGCTGGCTGAGGACCAGTGCCAGTTGTTTTACCAGTGCCAGTTGTTGGACTAGTGCCAGTCTTTGGACCAGTGCCAGTTGTTGGACTAGTGCCAGTCTTTGGACCAGTGCCAGTCGTTGGACTAGTGCCAGTCTTTGGACCAGTCCCAGTAGTTTTACCAGTACCAGTCTTTGGACCAGTCCCAGTAGTTTTACCAGTGCCAGTCGTAGGACCAGTCCCAGTAGTCTTACTAGCGCCAATCTTTGGACCCGTTCCAGTGGTTTTACCGGTGCCAGTTGTTGGACTAGTGCCAGTCTTGGGACCAGTGCCAGTAGTGGGACTAGTGCCAGTCTTTGGACCAGTGCCAGTGGTTTTAGCAGTGCCGGTTGTTGAAGTAGTGCCAGACTTTGGACCAGTGCCAGTTGTTGGACTAGTGCCAGTCTTCGGACCAGTGCCAGTTGTTGGACTAGTGCCAGTCTTCGGACCAGTGCCAGTTGTTGGACTAGTGCCAGTCTTTGGACCGGTGCCAGTTGTTGGACTAGTGCCAATCTTTGGACCAGTGCCAGTCGTTTTACCAGTGCCAGTTGTTGGACCTGTGCCAGTTGTTGGACTAGTGCCAATCTTTGGACCAGTGCCAGTAGTTTTACCCGTGCCAGTGGTTTTACCAGTGCCAGTTGATGGAATAGTGCCAGTCTTTGGACCAGTGCCAGTTGTTGGACTAGTGCCAGTCTTTGGACCAGTGCCAGTCGTTGGACCTGTACCAGTCGTTGGACCAGTACCAGTCGTTTGACCAGTGCCCGTCGTTGGACTAGTTGGTGTGGTCGATCCCTTTGTGGGTGTAGCTGTTGATAATGAAGAACCAGCTTTAAAGTTAGGATTTGACGGTCCTGATTGGCCAGGTCGAATTTTCTCGCCGGCCAACTCGAAATTAAGGTTCCCATTCTTTAAAATGGCAGTTCCCTTGATATTGAACCTCACGGGTGGGGGATCGTCCGCTAATCTTCCTATACAAAACACCACACAATTGTATAGTCGCAAGAATCTTTTGTTAAATGCGTAAAAAAGCTATGTCTTTTCTTGATTTTTTCCAACTGCTTTTTTTCCTCCTGTTTTTATCTTGGCAGAGCTTCTTTGTTTTCTTTTCTTTGTTTGTTTTGATTTTTTTTATCTTTCAACTTTAACAGGCCAAATTTTGGCAGCTTTGCATCAATTTTTTAGAGTGCAGATTAAACTTCCAAGATTAAATATAGAACGTCCTTGTATTGTTAAACCCGAAGAATTGCAAGGGTGGACACAACGCCTCTGTCCAAATATTATTTTTGAGATCATTGTTGGTGTATTTCCAATATCACGTAATTATTTTCCAATTTCCTTTGGAGCAAAATCTGGCAATTCATATAAATTCTTCCATGTTGTTATTTTAATTATTAAATATGTTTTAACAGTTTTTCAACTTAACTTACGTTTCATTTTTACGCCCAACGCCAGGCCAAGTTTGTTGCCGGCTTTTGCGGCCCATTTCCCCATTTTCGATTCCTTCAACTTTTCTTTCCAGCTTGATTTCTTTTTACCACCTTCATCAAAAAACGCACTCTTTCCTTGCCAAACGGTCAGTTGCAGTATGAATAGCAGTAAAGATAAACGCAACACTTTCATCTCCTCCTGAAGAACAAAAAGCAAGAACTTTCACTTCGGACGTGTTGAGAAAAACTTAAAGCCCATACTTTGAGTTATTACCTTACAGTAGTAAGCACATGCATGCTAACTAGTACTTAAAGTGTGACTGAAAAACTTTGCAGGAATAATTTGATAACGTACCTTGCTGTGACCAAAATTTGGTTAAAAAAATAACCGGAAAAAGGTGCTCTGTGGGCTCTAGTGGACGGGATGAAATATGAGCAAGAATGTTGTGGCTAATTGATCATGCAAGTTATCTTAAGACTGCCCTTATTGGTTAAGAATTTAATGGTGGTAATGATATATGTTTGGAGACTGATAACCTGTTACACGACACAGGCCCCTATTATGGTGCCTTGTGTGTTCTTATAAAGAGGGCGTGTCGATAAATAGTTATTGCTAATGGAAACTGCCTATCCAGAAGTGAATGTGGTAGACAATGTCCATATCCATATGAGTCCTACGCCAGCTTTTGAAAGCATTTGACTTTAAAAGTACTGTCATCGAAATATAATTTGCTTCAAGATCCACAAATACCTCTCTCTGTAACCCAACCTTAGCTATGGTTGTTATTTCACTTAGCTGCTAATGGATTCGGAACTGGTGACCGTTTTATGAAGTGCTATGTAAACTGATACATATTGGAACATCCAGTTGACGACATCGCAAATATATCATTTAGAGATCAGATCTTCGACCTTAAAAATATTTTCTTTCTAATGTATATCTTAAGCTTAGCCTACATTACTGGTTTATCTCTATGGAAATCACAGCAAGCAAAGCGAGGTGTTCTCGATCAGATGGGTTCCAAGAAAATCTAAATCGTGTCCCGACTAAAGAGGTGTTTAAATAAGAACTTGTTCTGATATTTTGATAAATCCAAAAGAGAATTATTTTATTTGTAAGATTGGACTTGATGGTGGTGTTGGTGGCTTCTCGTTCGCGGATAATCGTCGAAATCCACGTACAGTTCATCTCCAGGGTGGACATGGACAGCGTGAGTGAATCCTACCCAAAGGCACCCGTCGAGGTCTCAAACCTTTCGCCGATTATAAGCCCAGCGTGGTAACTTCTCGGCCAATGCATTTCTTATGCTCTGAGAATAAATAGCAACTATTACACACCTTTGAAATTGCAGTTATAGTAAATCTATATCTTACAATTACGATAGGTTTCTTAACGTGAGACTTGTTTGCTTTGTGTCAGCTACTTTAAAAGTAGGATTTGATTAGTAAGTTTCCGTACGAAAGGAGATTATGCACTGGCTCAATCGAATTTGACAGGTTTGAAAAATTCGAGCAAGTACAAAATTAGGTCAAAAACTACCTACCAGCACAAATTTAATTTTTAAACATAAAGCTTCAACTGATCTTATCTGAAACCGGAGATTTGTCTTTTATGTCCACAGAACTTTCCGACGGGCCCGAAACGAGCTGAGATGTTTAAACAACGAAAAAATCTGACATCCATTTCCTATGGGATGAATTCTTCCTTTCGTCTCCATCGCCCCTCAATTGTCACCTTGACGTGCCCATTCGAATTGGTGAAAGGTAAATACCAGCTTGTAACATCTGACGATACAGGATTCGCAATTTTATCTCATATGATAAAAATATTAATATCCTTACTGACAAAAAATATCTCCGCGATATCGTTATAACAAACACACCTTTAAATGGGCATCTACTTATAATGCATAAACTTAAACACAAACGCCTCTTCCAGAAACTGACTTTGGGAAGCTGGTTTACCGTTTGCAAAAAAACATTCTCCCCTCAGCAGATCAGCAATTATTGGTACCAAAACAGTGAGTTATCAGCAACATTCCACAGACAACCGAACCAAACACAACTACCTAAATGAACCAACGGATTGAAACTGATCAATTACAAATGGCTTATCTAGCCTTCCCAGAATAACTCTCACTTGGATGATCAGGCCGTTACAAAAACCAGTCCTGAGTTCGAATTAAACATTTATGCATTGTGATCTGTGAGGCAAGGAGGGTGCTAGTGTCAGATTTGTTTTCGGAATAACTGTTGCCTTTTAGTGGCTGAATCTCCATGGAGGCAAGTACCTGAGAGTACGGCAGAATTTGGGGTTAAATGGAGGCTGTTGGTCGAAGAACCCCCAACGCTATTTCCATTTATTTTCCTTCCTGTTTCTGACAAAATTCTACCTTCTCATACGTTGAAATTGTTCATTTCTTTAAGGGGGAAACTTAAATCTAACGGCAATTGAGGTCCCAAACATTGCAGTTTACCTAAGATTAAAAGTACTTTACTCGCAGGTTATCAAATGAAGGCTTCAAATATTTTTTAGAGACAAAAACCTCTTTATTTCATTATCTATGTCTTTTCGCATAGTTTTCTTGAATGCAAGGAACTGGTCAGGATAAGATGTAGATCTAACTTGATTAAAAATATAATTAATGGATTCAATGACAAGTCCACCATCATATATAGAAAATTATTAAACTGTTCTTTCATTAACACCAGCATGGTGCTATATTATGAAAAGTTCCTTACAATTTTCTCCTAAAATCGACTCAAATTATGCAGTTGTCAAGTAATATTGTTCAAGTATTAACGTCGTATAGTAACAAAGATGTTAAAGAAAGTTTTCACCTTTTTTGCTGCATTTAAATTCCTCTTTGGAATGGTCCAATATAAGAGAACGTAATAAGCTTTCCCCAACTTATAATTGGGGAGGGAGGAAGTGCATGTTATTTACAAAATTTTAATCAAAGAGTCTTTAGACAGATGAGCTCTAGTAATGAATGCTCTGGGCCTATCTTTGTTGGGATCTGTTGACAAATATTGACTATTAACTCCGTGACCTCTGTCAACATTTTCCTGGTTCTTAGGGTAATAACCAGGGGTTGTGCTGTAACCATGGGAACCATGGTTGCCTTCAAACTTGCTTAATCCATGAAGACTTTGTTTATCAAAATCACTAAACCTTTGTGGCTTATTCTGATTCTCTTTTTGGTATGGTACATTTTTATCTTGTTGGTAGTTGTCCTGACTCGGTGTGGCTTGTCTTTGAGCGTCTTCCTTGCATTCCACTGCACTACAATTGTAAGCAACTGGGTCAAAGGTACCAATTTCTATGTTTTCTTTTACGCCCACTTTATTGTTACTTTTCGGTTTATAACGAACTACAATAAAAGAACAGTTCATTCCCCACTTGGTACCAAATGCTCTTCCAACACCAATCTCTTCTGTCGCTTTCCATACAAGCTGAGCAAAATGCGAAGATACTCCACCGAAAGTAGGCAACGAGAAGTTATGGCAGCAAGCCTCATCGTACCTTATGAATCAATCAAAAATTATTTGGTCAATAAAACTATTAGTCCATCAATCATATCATCATCAATAAACTGATATGTCGTTAAAAAAATTTTTAATTTAATCAGTCAGGTGATTGAAATAGTAGCTATTCCTTCAACCATCCTGCCGTTCACCTGATCCACCTGTCTGGCAGCTAATCAATCAGTCACTGTTCGTCAGGATAGTCAATTGGCTGGTCAATCGGTCAGTGAGTCAGTTTACTGGACAGTCATTCAGTTAGCCAGTGAGCTATTCAGTCGGTTAATCAATCACCAGTCAGTCACTCAGCCACTCAGCCTGTTATTCGGCCAGTCAGTCAGTCAGTCGGTCGTTCAGTCGGTCAGTGAACCGAAAACCCATTAAGTAAACCAGTCAGTCATGGGTAGACGGGCAAGTAAATGTTAATCGGTCGATGCATATCTCGCCAGCCAAACCAGTCAGACAGCGATTGGTCAGTTAGCAAGTCATTTAGGCACGAATCCTGAAGGCATACAGGTACGCAAAAGGGCAGTCAATTTATCACTCAATCAAGTCAATCAATCTGTTATAATTACTAAATTATTATTATTATTAAAGTTATTACATACTTTGTAAATGAACACAACGACTCAGTCGTGTAGTAGTTGTAGTCGTTGTTGTCGGGAGTGATCGATTGTTTGGAAAGCTGTAAAGAGAGAGAATTACTGTCATTGATTGTTCATTTCGAGGAACTTTGGAGAAAAGTGTGAGTTTGTGTCAGTGCTAAGCTAAGATCTAGAGTGTAGTGAGCTTAAGTAGGTTTATTGAGGATAATTACTGTACTGCCTTTAGGATCCGCTCCTTATTAAGAATATTACAAGTTGTTTGATAAAGTAGTTGAGTATGTCGGATTGAAGAGTCCTGTAATAATGAAGTTTGGTCGTCCGGGTGAGTGTAGTCCTGAGAAGGACTGTTGTCGGTAGTGGTGACTGACGTTTCGACAACCTGAGCGGAAGTTATCATCGGAGTGAAGTTAACGGTTGTTATCAGTCGAATGTTCTCGGTCCGATTTGTATAAACTGATTGGTCACTTTTGCCGTGATGTTATTGGCTGTAAGACTCAAGTGTCCTTTCTGTCGGTTAAATTATACTGTAATGCACATCATACCATTTGGCAATAGCTTCTCTTGCAGTTATTCCATCTCCTTCACCCTCTATGCATCCCATAGCCAGGTTCTCGCCTTCTCCTTTTCCTAATCCCTCCTCGATGGATGCATGTCGAAGATCTTTCTCGGCAGCCAGTTTCAAAGCCCACTCCTTGGCCGCGATAGACATGTTTGTATTGTTTTGAACTGGTGGCGAAAAGTGCACGGAGCGAAGCTCGTTGTGAAAGGCAATCATATCATCTATGAACTGATTGTCTGAAATGATTTAATATGTAAAACAACAAACTTAGCGAAATATCAGTATCAAGTAACACTAGTAGAATTTTGATTTCACCATCAATTTATATCTATTGATAGCATTTACTGAGTATCAGCTCAGAGTAATATCCATGCAAATGCTCGATTACTGGCCAATTCTCTCTGTACATTGCTCAGCCTGTTTTTGTTTTTTCTTTTTCCCGCAGAAGGATGATAGCAGTGATCCTATCCCTCCATGAATTGTTACTGATTGGGAACAACAAGCCCAGCCATGGAGTACTGAGGACTATTGGAATTGTAATATAGCATATTTTTATTTTATTTTAACTTATTTTCTCGAAGATATTAGCTCTACAGCTACACTGTAAATTTCGAGCATAAATAAAGTATATGTATCTTTATAGCTAAGGATTCATTTCTTTCTCCTGCTTACCTTTTGGTGTTAGAAAATTTCCAGGCCTTTTCGCTTTACTCTTTACTGGCAAACCTGAGGGACTAACTTTGCTTGAGGGAAGTGATGTGATGATAGCAGTTGCCTTATCCTTTGATGTGTGCAATGGCATCCCTATCACCAGTTTTAATCCTATCTCTGCCGAACTGTTCGACATGTAGTATGTTCCTTTACCCTGAACACTGCTGTCAGAAATCTTGAACGTTCCCGATGCCTGGCTTAAAGGAGCTAAGAAATACGTTTTTATTGCATTATTCCCGCATAGATTTTGAGTTTTGAGAGACAATTCAAATTTCTCCCTTACCTGCGATTGCTCTATAGGGCGCTAAACATATGAAGAGGACAGCAACACAGATATGAGCATCTTTACACATCATGCTAGATGAAATAAATAGAAGCTAAGAATGTGGATACATATTTTGTTTTGGGAAATACGCATGTGCGCAGTTTTATTTAGCTTAGCCTCCCCTCGCCCCACTCCCCTTTCCCCCATTCTTCCTCAGTTCGAATTCGTTTGCATAGCGTGGAGCTTGAGATGTTCCTCTGAAGATAACTTAATAAGAAAAACATGACCGGAGTGCAGGTGAGTCAAGTGAGCGGCCATTCAGTTTTCTCGCCATTCAAAGTATGGACTCAACATAATAAATAAAGCTACCATGATTAAGGTATACTTTTAAAGGTTTCTTTGACGATAAATTTTGCGCCCTCGATGTTAGCAACTGGGTAGACGGAAAATATCAGTGGAAGTAATGGCAACAGTAATTGACTTTTCTAGTCGCCATCCAAATTTAAACACAGAACTCATCCTTCAGTACTACACCCGTGTAAAAGTATCCTCTCAACAAGATGAGACAAACTTTAATACTAAGGTTATACGTGTTTTGAAAAATCTCAGTCGCCAAACCTCACGCAAAACTTTTTTCGTACTACAATCTTGGTTTAGAAGCCTTTGTTCACGGATCCTTCGCTGATTTTTATGAAGTAAAATCGTCATTTCTACTATTGAACGAAGTCCTGTTTATATCAATTACTTTAATCCAGTTTATACCCTACCTTACATTGGTGTATAGAATGATTACTCTTTCTTGTAATCCTTTTTGTTCCAAGCTTCAGTGTATTTCTGATTTGAACACAGCCTCTTGATGGAGGTCATGATGTTTGACCTTGCCCCGTTTTTGAACCATTATGAAATGCGGGAGTTGGTGAACCCTGGCAAAGTCACTTAAGTGGTTCAAGAATTTTAACGTAGTTCTTACCCTTTATATCGTATTTGAAGTCATTGTAGATTTTTCAGCATTGGTGACTTCTATTAAAAATGATTCTATGCACAACCTAAATGTAGGTGTTTTTAAATAATGTTTGCTGATGAGAGAAAATACGACTAGAACCTCATGTTACTGCATTTGACCTAGCAGGTTGACAAGACAGTCGTGGTTATACAACCATTGTTTACAAGTTTGTGACATTAAAAATGAATACTTCGACCGTGGAAATAATGATCGACCGTCCTAGGAAAGTCTCCAATTGTTTAGGGAGCTAAACTGGTAAATAAAAGACTGAAATAAAAAATGACAACAAAAAAACAAACAAAACTAAGAGAAAGGTTTGCTTTTTTATATAAAGTTATTTTCTTGCCATAATTATCAATAAATCTGACTATTATAATCTGCTTTTTTTAAGTGCTATAATTTATATTTATGTAAAGAAATATCCGTTGGACAAAGGTAAAATCTACTTCTTGGTCGAGCAAGGTTGCGTTGAGGAGGTTCAAGACTTTCTCCCTATTCCCAAAAATCAGTTTCACCGCAATTTGTAATTTTTTCCTTTTCATCTCTATAAAAGCGTTCCAGAAATGCACATTTATCACCTTCAATTAAGCGTGGAGAGTGGTAATTACATTAAATGACAGCCCTGTGAAAACCATTAATTAACTTCATTATCAATGAATGTGTTCGTCACTTGAGAAACAAAGCACTGCAATTCTCGTTTATTGCTATGAAAATTCAGTGAGAATCAGTTTAGACTCATCTCTCTCTGAGTTCAAAATATGTTTGGTTTAGTTCAGAGGCCTCTGAAGTACCGAAATTACAGTTGCTTTGAACTGTGCGATACAATTGTTTAAAGCCTTGCAGGAAGGTGAACGTTGATCCGTTCGATCATTGCCATTTGATAACCAAGTCAACGTGAAGTTAGAAGGGCAAAATTTTCTGAACTCTCATGTTTTCCTCCGGGAAGCTCAGACACTTAAATGACAAATAATTGATAATACCAGTAGGATGAGTGACACGAAAAATTCGTCACCAATTTGGTAATTTTATATGCTAGAGAAAAAAAAAAAGTTATGTTTTACAGTTTATGTAATCTGCAATTGGTACGATCCTTCATGGTGGAAGGGGTTATTTTCAGCAAACACGGTGTTGATGTTCGTGCGACTTCGTCTGTTAGAAAAGGTTTGACCCTACCAATTTTCCAATAAAATTAATTAAAAAGTTGTGAAAGAATCGGTCCATTGGAGAAGTTGAGCTCAAAAACATCGAAAGCCAACTTTATGGAAATAAATGAATTAGAAGAGATTTTTGTTTATAGAAACAAGCATGCGTTTGTTTTTATCATCTTTGTAGGTTTTGTAGTGACGATATCACGAAACATCAGTCAAACTAATTAAAGAAGTAGATGTTTTAATCTATCAGGCAAGTTTTTAGAGCTTTATTTCTTTCACGAAATATCTTACAAAATCTTATGCAATTGATTCAAGCAAAAACACGTTTGAAGAATTGACTAATAAAGGGATGCAAACAATCAAATTAAGACATTCGACAATCTCAAAGCGTCCAAACTGCTTTGAGTGAGCGACTACTTTCACTTCTGTTACAAATCTTTATTTTCAAAGACATCCAAGCTGAAATCATTTCTCGGTAGTTTTCATCAAGAAACGTCTCAGTCAATGTTTACAAAATTATAATTTTTGGAAAACGCGGTATTTTGGTCCTGTATCTGTTCTTTCTGGAAGCGAGGGTGGACTTCTCCCCATGATGAGGTAACACATCACGCTGAACATTGCTGCAATAAGATGAATCAAAGTGTCCTTTGCTCACATCGTTGGCAAACTCTGACCCGATGTTGCCAAGAGGTCTGTAGCGGGCAACTATAAAGGTGCAGTTCATGCCAAATTTGGTCCCCGTGGCTTTGCCAACGCCTAATTCTTTTGTAGCATTCCACACAAGCTGTGAGAAATGACCAGACTTGTCCTGGTAAGCCTGATTGTAGAAATTGTGACTACATACCTCATCATACCTGATAGATAGGAAGAAGAGAATGAGAAGAGATTATGAATGAGGAATACAGCTTAAGGCGACCTCATCTTGTCATAAGGAATTTTGTGGCCCAAAAAGATACGTTATTTCTTAAGGAAGCTCGACCAGGAGTGTAATTAGTTCTTTATAGGTAGTCCTCCCTTCGATTTTTTAGAGATGTCCAATGACATGTAATTGGCTGGTATTCTGTTTGTGGCTGGATCAACGCTGGGAGATTAATACACTTTAGGGAGATCAACACTCTTTAATATTTGGATCAGTCTCACTTAGGTTTGCTTTCTTTGTATAGTTATTTTCTTGAGCTGAGTTAAATTAAAAAAGGAAAAAACGTCTAGGTATGTAGTGGCTCTCACCATTCCTTCGCTGCATCTTTAGCTGTGATCCCTGGGCCAGAGGAAGTGCATCCCATGGCTAAGTTTTCCCCTTGGTCTGGACGACTAGCTTTATCTGAATGACGTAGGTTTGCTTCCGCTGCAAGTTGAATCGCGAGAGCCTTAGCTTGAAGTGACATGTTTCTGTTCTTCATCAGTGGAGGAGCTAGATGAACTGAACGGAGCTTGTTATGTTCCTCTGCCATTTCGTCCAGAAACTCTTCATCTGAAAGAATTCAAATCCCTATTAAGTTTTCTCATTTTTTTTCATGAAATATTTCACTTACGTATGAGCCAGGTGTCCTTAACCACACTAGCCTGGCATAAAGGCACTAGGAACACTTCTAAAACTACTCACGTGGTCTTTGGCATAATTTTAATCCCTTGCAGTTGACCTTTAAGCATGTTACCCAGTTTGCACAGAATTAAGTCCCTTGCCTGAGTGCGAAACAGAATGATCTAGCCCTGGCTCGATCTAAAGGATTACTTGGTTGATTAAATTTTTCAGTTGACAAGTAACATCCACCATTTTGAATCCAGAGTTTAACAGTCACTTGACCTTAACTTTGTACCAAGAACGCATTTTTTATGCAATTATATATATATCCTTCCTGGCAAAATGAAATTAAGAAATGCCGAGGCAATAACTATACATATCTATATGCAGAGCGGGCATTGCTTTGTGTCTTATTGCTCTTACACATATACAAAAACTCATTACGAAATGGCAGCTTTTGCAGCTTTGTAGCGATTATTCAAAAATAGCTATTAATAGACCCCAACTACCTTCTTTTGTAAATGCGAGCTCTGTCTCTGTGTGATCACTCTGAGTTGTTTTGAGTGAATTTACCGGGTTTGGTTTGTCTGCTGCTATGACAACTTCTTGTTTTTGAGCCATTTCTCCTACGACCATGTGAAGGTTGATTTCTGACGTGCCATTGGCTATTGAGAAGGTGCCTTCACCATTAATTCCTTTACCTGAGATGTTGAAATTTCCATCCGCCAAGTTGATGGCAGCTAAAACGATTCAAAGAAAAGATATCGGAAATTTCACTGACTTTGTACTTCAAGTTCTGAATACAGCATATATGTCGTCGTTAAATCAGTGCAGCGCGTATAGCACAAATGGTGGACTTATGAGAACCTACTCATCAGCTGCTACCGAGATGGAAGCGTGAGTTAATTAAACTGTTTGTAGGCCACATTTTTGCATTTGCAGCCACGCGTGGCCGTTGCAAAAAATTTTGAACATATCAAGTGGTCATTACTGATAAACAAGTCCCATCCCCAAAGGGATTTTTTGTTCCTATAATTTAATTAACCAGTAGAAATATAGAAAAACAAAATATTAAAATCGACATTTAAACTTTTGGGCCGGGCTGAAGGCCAGGAAATCTTCTATTTCTAACGTTGGCCAAAACTATTACAGCTTTGAGAACTTTGGTTCGTGGTAAATTTAGGGGTACGATTGAGCCTGGCCTCATGCAGGTCCGTAAAAAAATTACCGCTTACCTCCTTTTGCGGCTGCCAACCACGTTGATAAAAAAATAAACTCCTTAACACAACTGAGAGTACGTAACATCTTCCTGAAATAGGAAAGAAAGATAACTTAGTCTGTCACGTTTTGTAATAATCTTCCTGCTGTGTAAGACTTATCGAACTATGTAGTAAAAAAAAAAGGTGTCGCTATAAGTAATAAACTTAGTTTACATGGTCACAGTGCCCTATGAACGAGAGTTCACTGCACACAAAAACAAGCAAGATATCATGGCAACACGAGCAACGAAAAACGTAAGAGTACATGTAATAACACCTTAAAATTACGTGGAACCTTACATTACGGATAGGATGCATCATCGTTTTTGTTATTATTATTATTATTAATATCATAATTATCATTTTCACTCTCGTCATTATCAACATTGCCATCACTATTACTATCACTATTTCTATCATCATTCTCATTGGCAGTATCAGTTTCATTACTAATACAACTATCATTATTATCCCTATTATAAGTTTAATTATAATTATTGTTATTATTAAAATAATTTGTATAACGCTAAGACTATAAACTATTCAAAAGCGCTTTACATTAAGTTACAATAAACAGCTAAAATTAAAATTTCTAAAAAGCTCGTAATAATAATAATTAGGGTAAAAAATTTCTATGCTGAGCTAAAATCTAAAAAAGAAAAAAAAAAGGTTTAAATTCATCGTAATTGTAATGACTAAAATAATTATTGTTATCGTCAGGAATGAGAGCTAGTATTGGGCCTTTTGAGCCTTTCACCATCTGTAATATATTTATTACCAAGTGAAACAGCTTATCTGATTACAGCGTGCGCCTGATAGTCTTTAATTGAAAAAGTGCGACAGGTTTTTTATTACATAGTGCGACACTATTACTTTTACAAATTGCAATAAGTGTTATTACAAATTGCGACAAGTGTCATTGCAAAATGCGACGATTATTACAAAGAGCGACAGAACAAAGTTTGCTTTAAACGATGCGATGACATTTATCATATTAAGTGCTATTGGGGAAACATGATAACCATTGTTTCGTCTTCACATCAAACAAAATGTTTGTGCTTTAAACTTGGCTATAAATTACCTGCGAGGTATTTACATACCTCATGCAATAGTTCTCATAAAAGGACTATATTCAATGACGAAAGAACACTGAAAAACTAGTTTTATCAAAGAAAGACTTTGTCTATAAGTACACATGAGGTGTCCTCCGCATTGTTGCCATGGCAGTGCAGTATGGATTTGAATATTAAGTTCCGTCTTTTTTCCTACCGCCAGCGTTCTCTCGCATCAGCCAGAAAAGAGCCAAAATTCAGACAAGATTTTTCTCAGCCACCTTACTATTTGACAGAAACATTACGCTCTCAACTTGATTGATGTCCATATTTCCATACAATCTTACAAGAAACGTGTTTCAGGTGATTTTCCACTTGGCAAGTTTCAAGTCTAATACCTGTTCAAGAACTCAAAGAACCTGTCATAAAGAGAGTAGTACTATGAAAAGATATATTTATTTTTATTATGAAACAGATAGGAAAACGATTATTAATCGGAGTTCGAAACAATAAATGAAAAAAGCCCCCATAAGCTTAAAAAAGTCTCGGCCAAAACATTTGAATCCGATAGCGCTCAACTTTTGCTTCCGGCTTTAGCCTTTATTAGTAATGCACCAACAATTGTCATCATTTCAGCTTTTACTATTCTTACCAAATATTACACATTTTATTGATATAGAACAGTTTTACATGCATGTTAACTTTCAAACTGGTAGGCCTAAAGCATTTGTTTCCTGACTTCTGTTCTTTGTGGCGACCGAATAATCACCAACTTTGTAAATAAGTAATGCAATCACCAGAAAGACAATGAATTGATATTTCCCTCATAAACACGTTAGCTATTGGAAGCTAACTAAGATAATTTCCAAGTAGAAAGCAGTGGTGTTATCCGAAAGACCTGGACTGTGAAACAGAGTGGATTAAATTCTCCCATCTCGGGAATAATCCAAACTGCATATGGTTATGAGAAACACTTCATTAGTGGAAAGCCGGAAAAATCGTCTTAGGTAAAGGTTGGAAATGCCTATCAAGGAATCGATTCAATTGCTATATAAGAAAAATAATTTCTTACCTATTCAACAAAAGATCTTTTTCCTGTCCGCTGATTATGAGACAATTTAGATGATAGTCAGTCGTTTCTTTTTTCGTATTTTACGAAATAGTAATTGTTAACGTGAGAAGCGTAATATTTTGTGACCTAAAGGTCACGCGGCCGACCGCACCCTGCTTAACGGTCGATCTGACCGACACCAAGAATCTGAGAACCGTAGAAGCAATTTCGTAGAATTTATAGCAGTGATAAGTTTTCATGTTCAGTATCTAAACCTTTAAGGAAAACCTAGCGGCACACAGTCCCTTACCTGAACCATATTCATTTTCACAGCCATAACTATTGTTTCAGCGAGGGATACTTAATACATTAAAAGAATGCTTTCAAAGCGTTACAGCAGGTGTTTAGGGAGCTATACATCTACATGTAATTGCATGACGCCTGTAATAATGTTTATTTTAAAACAAGCTTTAGAAAGGTCCGTGAAATTATCGTTTTTCCCTTTGCTCTCGACATCCCATAGTTGAGCCTCCATTCACCGCAAGGATCATTGACAAGAAGTAAGAAACAACATAGTCCCCTCAACAACTATCAGCTTCATTCAAAGGAATCATTCGCGAAACAAACGAACCACACTGGACAACCTAGCTTTACCTACGGATTAGAATTGACCAATCACAACTGACGTAGGTTATTCGATTCTTTAGGTCATTAACATCACGGTAATATTGACCAATTCAACGAAGAGACTTGTATGGCTTAACAATCGAAAGGAAAAAGACTAACTCTGTTGACTGCAAAGATAACGTCCGCCATCCAATATTGATAACAGCCCTTTCATAATAACCCTTACTGTTATGATAAAACTACAAGATTGGGAGGAAGAAAATTAATAAATATTGGGTCGTAATCCATATCAGATTTTTCTGTTGGGCACAAATGCATCTCTGAAAGTGATTCGACAATCTCAGAGAGGGATTAACCGTTTGACGCACACCCATGGAATTATGAACGAGTAGGGATATTAGGGAATGGACTGCTGTGGAAGGTTAAAAATACTGAGACAAGGTCACACTGTGAAAATAGGAGTGTTCGCGCAGTCGCCTACGAGAGATGACCGCTTAAAATGGAGGTCCACAGAAGGGCTTTTATGATAAAATGATACTGAATTAGATAAGTGGTCACTTAAAAATTTTCTCGCGAAAATGAGTCGCATACTATGTTTCAAAATGTATCTCATATCTTTAACGATGAAGTAAGTTTTTTACTTTGTGCAATACTATGAGAAAAAGACATGACACAAACTACAGCCCGGTTTCTTTTTTTTTTTTTTACTTTTCATGCTTTTTCTCTCTTTGTTTTCATGGGCCTAGATTAAGTTCGCCAATAACCTCACGCTTTTCCAATCACGCCCATTTAGAAACCTTCAATGGTTCTTTTTCATTTATTGTAGCGTTTGTAATCAAAGTACGATCGAGTACAAGTATTTCCGCGAGTCTCTTAGCATGATATGTGTGGCTCACTTTATAGGGGCAACTTATTCTGGTAACAACTTATTAGGTTATCGACTGTCCACGATCGATATGCTGTATCTTTCTCACCATGTCGATGACACTATGTATAAATACCAACTATAGTGAGGTTATTTGATGACACAAAGAGAAAAATCGTGGGAAGAATAATTTTAAGTTTTGTCACCGTCTGCTATTAAATGTAAAATCAACCTGAGTTAAGAGCCGCATTTAAAATGGCTCAATTAAAGTAAAATAGAAATTGAAGAAGATGAAAAGCTTAAATGAAATATTGTAAATGTATTTAAGATAATGGGGTTTCTGAAATTCCCACTGAAGAATAGACTAATTTTAGATACTCCGGCTTGTCCATATTTCCTTTTTCCATACAAGTAATTTACCCCAGATTATTTTTCATGTAAATCCTTTCCTCAAACGAGCCAAGATGCCTAGAGTAGAAGCTAAATTTTGACATCAACTGCATCCGGCGTATTGCACAAAGAGTAAGATGCCATAGACATTTAATAGCATTTTATTTGCTGTTCCATTATCGAACAGGAAAGAAATGGATTGTCCTCAATTGGAAGCTAAAAAACTTCCATCGTCATGTCGGAGCGGTTTTACAAAAGTACAAAACGCTCGGAAAACATTTTCAATCTGAATAAATATATGTACACCTTCACATTTACGTGTTTACTTAGATATATTTAGTTTATTGTTTTTGTACTTTCTTTTTACTATTTTAAGCAAACAATATTACAGTTATTTAGAAAATGTGACGTTCTTGGCTACTAATTTGACTTATGGCATTGTACTTCCCTATCAATTTTTCATAAGAGCTACTCTTTTGTTCAATTAAAAGCTAAAACTACCTTATTAGGTTGGGTAATAGAACAAAACAGCTTTTCTAAGGAGGGAAAACAGGGCAGGATGCCGGTTATCGTCTCCTTTCTAGATATTTACTTCAGTTCCCATTTACTCCAAAACACTGGATGTCAAAATTAGTACACATCTTGGCTTACTATTATCAATCTTCTTCCGAAAGGGAGCTAACGCTCCAAATTTCCAATACCCCTTTGTTCGGTAAACATCTGACACAATAGTTTCATTTCACTACGCAGACGCTTCTTTTATGATGTATTTGTATATTTATCTCGCTGGGGATCTAGAGTGGCGTAGATGTTCAGAATAGGATGAAGTAATTATAATTTTCCGAGATACATACTGCCAAGTCAAATCAAATTGATATTCAAAACACTTTTTGCATGTGAAAGGGTCAGGTTAGTATTGCTTTGGATGTTTGTTTGTTTGGGATTCTTTTTGTAAAAAAAAACATAACATGTTTCGGCATGCCTTGACCTAGGGACAGGCAGAAACCTATTTAATGAAATACACCCTTAGTGTGGTGTTTTGCAGGTTGGTTCATAAAAATTGGAACTATATATATCCGAAGTGATGAACAACTCGAATTCAAGCAACGCAAAAGGTAAGCTTTATTATTATTTTTTTTCAATCACATATCATTTTAATGCAAGGACTACGGTTAAGGAACCAAAATCAAATTGATCATCCTTCCTTCTCTGGATCTTCACCAGCTATAAAATTATATTTGGAGGTGAAAGGACAAACAAAAATAAACGGCCTGTAAAGAACAGTGGCAGGGTTTCCTCAGGTAAGAAGTGAAAAAACAAAGCCTCTAAAAGAGAGAGTCATCGCTTCTTCGGTAATCATTTTATGTCGTCCTTCAGTAGCATTTTGAAATGGTCCAATAGTTTCCAGTGGGGCCACAAACTATTTACAAAATTAAAAAAGGAACAAGTCTCCTAGCTTTCGCTGACCCACGGCATCAGCAGGTATAGAAAATATTCTGTAATACAACTAAATAAGGAAAAGGTGAGGTGTAATACAGTGGTAGAAAATCCTAATGAACAAAGTAGGTGAAGACAGGTGCATAGGGAGTGCTGGTATATGTGGGATGACTGGGAGTAACATAGATGAAATATTTTGAATGATGGTATAAGAATGGAAAAGATAACTAATTGAAATAAAATAAAGCAGTGGTAAAACGAAAATAGAATTTGAAGGTACGTAAAGTAGTACTTCTCCAATTCTGTTTGCCCTAAATTAGCGTTTGTAAATATTCTATCGATCTCTAATAGGTGGTGACTCAGTGGAGTTGTTTAGCAACACAAGCAGAATTATTACTACAACAGTTTATGCGGTAACGATCATATGTGGACTGGTCGGAAATAGTCTTGGCCTTTACTTAGCGCTAAGAAGGAAGGCTGGAAATCGTGCAACGAATCTGTTTATGGCAAATATGGCGGCAGCAGACCTACTTGTTACTCTGTTTGCTATGCCTTATTCGGTCCTTTTCATAAATGTGCGCCAGCAATGGATCGGAGGAGTCATTGGCCAGGTTACATGCAAGTTTGTCCATTTTGCTTATCAAATTTCAATACCCGCTTCCATTTTCACTGTTTTATTGGTCTCTTTTGATCGTTATCTTGCTATCTGTTACCCTATGAAGACAAACTTGTTTCGAAATGGCAAGGTCATGACAACAGTTATATGGATATCTTCTGCAGCATATGCGATTCCATTTATGATGGCAAATGACATACTCAAATACAACGATACTAACTATTGCCTTCGCATCTTCACCCCATTTGACAATCAGAAGTCGATACAGATCTACTATTTGGTTACTTTCATTTTACTTTACTGTGTGCCTCTGACAATCCTATTGGTCTTGTACAGTCTCATCACACACAGACTCTGGCAGCGAAAAATTCCAGGTAATGTCAGTGAGGCCAGAATAAGATCAGCTCAGGGGGAAAAGAGAAGGATTGTAAAGGCTTTGATTCTGATTGTGATGGTTTTTGCAGTCTGCTGGTTTCCAGCTCATGCTATGCACTACTTGGTTTATTATCGCAAGGATATCTATCGCAGTATACCACGGGAAGTTGAAATGTTCTTCTTTTGGCTCTGCCATGCTAACAGTATTATTAATCCATGTTTGTATGTGCTGATAAGCCCCAGCTACCGCAAATTTTTACAGGGAAGTTTCGGACGTTTTTGTTCTTGCTGTAGCCATGCTAATTTCAACTCTTTAACAAGGCGTAGCACTGGGATGCTTACTCTCAGTCGATCGTTCGATGCTACCAGCAATACCGTCTTTGGATTTTCCTTCAAAATTAAAGACACAGTGGAGACTCAACTGTAATATTTGCTTATTTTCATGTAAACAAACGTAATCAGATGGATGAAGTTTTGGGCTTCTTCACTGTATTCATTTTACAGAAATGGGTAAATATCTCGCAGAATTCAGTCGCTCTCCAACTAATTTGTTTTGTTTAGCCCACAAGCCATTTGAAAGTAGCCATTGTTCATAACGAGATTCAGAAAAATATTGTTTGATATGGATATTTTCACAGAAGCGGAATTAGATGTTTTATTGTCTCGAAACCAAAATTATATAATCATACAAAAATGACAACTACTTTGGTCGGCTACACACGAACACTCAAATGTTCCATTTAAGGTGATATGAACTAATGGCGTCCTGCCATTAAGAGTTTGATAATAGTGGTGTTCCTTATTCATAGTTAAAAGTGTGATTTAAATATAATTTCCTCTCTAAATGTCACATTTAGAAAAAAAATATATTAAAAGCTTACTTTTTAATCATACACCAATGACTTTTAATTCTAATCTAGAATTCGAAATAATTTATAGGAACTGTAGCTTACTAAACTCATCTCTTCTCAGTATTGAGATTGAACGTTGTAAATCGATTAATACAGAATAACTCAAAAAATAAATGTCCGTAGTTGTATTGATATTTTCTCAAAGAGCTTACGTCACCGTCAGTAAGACTCTTTCATTTTAACTTAATTCAAATACAACAATACAATTGATTATTGCTTATTGAAATTCCCAACCCTGAGAGCTTTAAAAGTAGAAGAAAACGTTTCAAGGTTTTCCTCATCAACAATGGTATACAGAACAGCTTGCAAGGGGTGTAACGTTATTAAAAGAAGCAGAAAAATCTTGTTAATTATAGTAAATAATTATATATTTATAATTTACCTGACGATCATTGCATTAAAATCTATAAATAAAGTTTTAATTTTGAAATGCATTAGTCTTCTTTAAGATAGAAAATTTAATAGAGATATTGAATTTAAAAAGCAATGATTTCCCAATTTCAAACGAATATTTGTCTGTTCCACTTTACTTAGGTACCGGCGCTATTGTGACGTAGATGACGTGGTATTTTAGCTCAGCGGTAAATCTTCGATCAGCTTTAACTCCCTGTTTAATTGTCATATTATAAAAGAGTAATACGATCTTCAGTTATGAATAAACCGATGCTGAGTTTATTATCAAATTGTCATTTTTTTCTTGTTTCTCCGCTGTCTTCCATATCATCGACATCTACAATTCTTCCTTTGTAAAACTTTTTTCCACATGCCATACTTCCCTAATCCACATGTGTAATCGCAGTTTTGAAATCAAAGATGAAAAAAAAAAACCTAAAAAAAAAATTCCTTGCTCTTATAAAACAACACTAAATCCTTGTTTCCCTCTTCTCACTGAAGCTCCAAAAATTGCGAATAACTTTTTTATTGTGCAGGAGGAGCTTTCATGTAGCATTTGTCCTTTGAATCCAGAAATCTTTTGGCAACCATCTCCAGGTTCAGGATTCACAATAAATTGGTCATTGTCCACCGCATTTATATAGCGACAGCCAGTTGGAACAAATTTCCCCTTTGGAACATTTTCAATGTAATTTTGCTGATTGAGATAAGGTCTGTATCGCGCCACTACAGCAGTACAGTTGAATTTGTCGACAGGAAAATTTGCCCGTCCAATTCCAAGTTGCTGATTTGTTCGCCATACGATCTTGCCGAATGGCTTTCCTTTCTCGTTTACAGGGATTGGTTTATCAAAATCCCAGTGGCAAACAGTAGAATACCTAGTGGATAAACGATTAGACGATTATTTTTCGGTGATCTGCTTCTTTGAGGTGTATAGATGTGTATGGTTTTATGTGAAAACGTCGGAGAAAATGAGAGAATTGGTCCATGCTTAGCGTGCGTGCATCGAGTGATGGATGTTCGTGGGAAGTTTGGAGAGCACGATAGACGTGTAAGAGTTGCTCAAGGCGCAGCCGAGACCACCTCTAGCTTCTTGAGTATTTTCAATGAAGTATCATCAACTCCAAACTAATTTCGTCGCGTGAAAGAGCCACATCCCTTTCGTTGTTTTGAAACTTGTATTATTCAGGAACGGAAAAACAGTATTGAAATTTTGGAAACCTCGCTGCTAAACTCGATTGGACTTAAAGCCGAAGTGAAACTGCGCACGTCATCATATGGATGCACGGCCGTGCGGTACATAAGGATTTTTACAAAGGTAACTCCTTAGGAAATTGAAAGTTTTCTCCTTATGCAAACACAACAGCTAAAACGACTCTGTATGGTATCATAAGAAGTAAGAACGCAAATGTTCCTTATAACCTTACTTTACCTTGGTAGGAGATCTGAAAAAAGGGGTGAAAAAGAGCGAAATAGTAACTTGTGTCACTAGCGATGAAAAAAAATTTCTTCTGCGCATAATCACTTAAGTAATTCTTACCATTCTCGGACTGCTTCAAAAGCAGACACTCCTGTACTGAATGCTTTGCAGCGTAAGAAGATGTTTTCTGCCTGCCCCGGTCGGCTTGAAATTGGAGAATGTTTTACGCTTAACCTTTGGGCAATTTGCTGGGCATATCTTGCAGCCTGAAGGCTTAACTCGTGGTCAAGTCGAAGATCTGGAGTTTCATGCACTTTGCGATGAAGATTGTGATACAACAGTCCTTGCACTTCGAACGGAGTAATATCTAGAAGATATAAGGTATTTTATGATAAAAGAAAATCGTCAGAGAGTTTAAGGGACATCAGGAAAACATTGATTTCTGCAACGGCAATTGCCGTTTTGATAATCAGAGCAAAAATATATATCGAAGGCAAGGAAACCTGCGCAGTTAGTAAGGCTTTCAGAAATATTGACAAAAAATCACTGTGTAGGTTTTCTTCTTGGGGGAGGGGGGGGTGTCGGTGTAGGTATTAGCGAAAACTCATTAAAACACGAACAGGACAGGAGAGGACAGAAAAAAAGGAAGGGCTATTTTGCTTGGGTTTTGTTTTAGGCAGACAAGCGTTACGATCCTTTTTTGACTTTGTCCACCTAAGGTCGTGAACTGAATGGGAGTCTCAAACCAAAAACTCTCGAGGAAAGAGTTATCTTACCTTGAGATTTCGGTTCCATTTCCACAGCAGGTGTTGGTTTTGAATCCCGTTGGTACCAGCTGTAGACGGGCGCCATTTTGTAATAAGGTGGATATAGTGGTGTATACTGATATCCTGGAGAGAAAAAAAGGAAAATAGAACTGGAGTTGGCTAATCTAATTAAGCTGACGGGCAGTTCTGAGTATATAACGCTATCGGTTTTACTTTAAATAATAAAATGGTGCGTGCAAGTGATTTATGTCTGTGGTTAACGAAGCCTGCAGAAATTTTTGTCCGTTTCGCCATAATACAGACCTGTCGAAGGATCAACTTTAAAAGTTTACGCCTCCGCTAAGTACGTGTCTTTAATAATTTATGCAACTCAGAGAACTTTAGCTTTTGTCGGGGAAAAAATTTTCACGATCAACGTATCAACATCAATACATTTTAAGTCTAAATGTAATGCTATAGCCATACAACAGCTTAACTTAGCAATTGAATTCCTTATCCTGAATTCAGTTCTTGACACAAATTTGACAGTTCCCTTTTCGTAACGGTTCAATAACCTCGCATGGTTAAGTTGTCTACACTTGCCCTTAGCTTTGATGATTAAAGCTGAGTATGGGATTTCTTACTGGGAAAAAAAGGTCATCTCACCTCCATAGGCTCCATAGTTTTGTCCGTTGGCGAAAGTGAAGACAGCAAGCAATGAAATGGTCCATAATATTCCTCCCATGCTACCGTGAGGAATACCCGGAAGTTTAAATTCCCGAACTTCTCAGAGAATGGTATTAAATTTGCTTTGTCTTCCTGGAAAAGTTAGAAAGGATAAGGTCTCTTGTCAAACTTACATTTCCGTCTTGGGTATTTCAACGTTTGCTGGAAAGTAACCATGAATCATGGAAGGACGCCATTTTGAGTTTATCATCTCGATATTGTTGTAGACATGACCTTGCTTCGGCCACCTGTTGGCGGGAAAAACTGCCACCCTGCGCAGTTAAGCGGGTATCGCTTTTACTTACTTTTCTCTCAACAGTTTGGGCTTAAAATAGAACTGCAGGACAATTTATCAGAACTGTTGCATGAATAGAGTCTTACATCGCCCCATTTGTAAATAAACCTATAAAGTATAGCAAATACCACTATTTCTAACCAATGTTTTCATGTTATCATGGCTGTTTATAAAGGCGGTGATGGAATCTACAGGAAAAATGACTTTGCCCAACAGAATCATCTAGTACGTTTTAAACAACGTATAAATGACTTAAGTACCCTAGTGTGGCCTTTGACAGATAGACTTGTCTGATAACAAATTAAAAATAATTTTGTTTGCCTCACACGAAATAATCAGGGGACCCCCTCAAGTGACATAACTTCCTGGTTTTCTATTAAGAAAAGAAAACATCGTGTAATTTACAAAGTCAACTACTTCGATAAAAATTCAACGAGCCCTCAATGCCAGAATAGTTGAACAAATGTTTATCACAACTCCTCATTCATTTCAGTAAGGTCGAATTATGTCGTACCTGCAGTTACGTTGCTATCAAAGAAATATCCCTGTAAGTCAAATGTCGACCAGTTCAATCAGAAGAAATTTTTCTCGTCATCAACTTCTTTTATGAAGTCCGTCTTTTCCACAAGGCAGACCAAAATCAATGAAAATTTCTTCTTTGCCACACTCGTGGGAAAAGTCAAGCTTGTGCTTACGGTAAAGTGTTTTGGTTACAGGTTGTCCAAACAGAGCATTCTAGATGACTCTTGCTGTTATTTGACTGGTTGACCCTGACTTGTTTTGGTAGGAAAGCGACAACCTCGCACAAAATAACAAAGGAGTTCAATATTAAAAACGCCACAATTTATGCAGTAGATGGTTTTAGCCTTAGAGTGCGATCGTTTAGGTGCCGGCCTGTGAGAGCGAATTTGAAGCGAGGGTGCCTTTAGGCCGGATTGTTCGTATTGTATTTTAATGAGCCGTCGGTGTCTCTGGTGGCATCTTCCCCCGGAGAATTTTCGAGATTTAACTCGCCTCTTTCGTTCTTCTTTTCCGCCATTTTTCACATTTTGGACTCTCTTCCAAAGATATACCTTCTCACTTTGAGGTTACCTAAAAGCTAGCTTTTTTTTTTTGGTTCATCATTGTCGTAAATAGTAAGCACAATGAAACCTGCGCGTTTGTCGTCTTTGATGTCATCCAAAAAGGTGGGGAAGCATGGGCTGCCACGGACCACCCTGTTCTTATGAGTATCGGGTGAGAGGTTGCCCTGAAAAGGACCAACTGATATCAGTGACAGTATCTGGGGGATTTCTTTCGGAAGTCATTGAGAGGTGAAAAGGTTTTTGTCTGTGACATGTTTAAGACTGATTCGTGACTACCCCTGAAGTGATTAAATTTAGGAAACTCAAATAAAGAGCAAATGGATAAAGGGGGTAAGTTGGCCATCGTAAAGAGTTTAAAAGCTGAAGTTTCGAGCGTTAGCCCTTCATCATTGCTTCGGCGAAGGGTTGACGGTTGGTCGTGGTGCAAACCTAATGATAACCACAGAAAATGTTGATGTGAAAAGTACAAACTATAAGCTTGTGGGGTTGGATCTTTTAACTGTGGAGTCATTTTTCTTTCATTAAGAGGAATTTCGGGCTTCCATGCAAATAACGTTGAAAAATTTGTTGGAAGCCGCTTAACGGGTCGTATTCGCTGCCATCCTGTTTACCAACGGAGATGGAAAAATTTGAAAAAAAGGAGCCGAGTTCATGGGCAAGTACCGCTCCCCAATCCCCAGCTCTAGGTATACGATTCTCTAAATTTATTTTATTTCTTATGTTCAACAAGAAGGCTAAGATTCTTGCACCCGGCATTTCTTTATCTGCATTGTCTCCTCTGCACTCACATTATCAGTGTTCGTGTTTGTGGGATTTTCTTGCCCGCTTCTTTTGGTGTATCTTTGAGCGTGGCGCCAAGTAATGCAGAATCGACCTTTTCTCCGCTGTACAGTCCTTGGCCTTATCAAAGGAGCCTTTAGGTACGTTTTCAGCGTAATCTCCCACCATGTTTCCAGCGGGTCTGTAGCGACCTACAATGTAAGAACATTTCATTCCATTCTTATCTATGTCTGCTTTTCCAATTCCGAGCTCGACGCTTTCCTTCCAAATAACTTGGGTAAAGTGGCCCGTTCCTCCCGTACCACTTGGTTGGCCAAATGCGTAACCATATTTACAGACTTCGTTGTACCTTTGCATAAAAACATAGATAAGAAAAAGAAAAGGAATACTGATCAGCGCCGGTGTGTGAAAAGTCTAATTTTCTTGTATGCCTTTTATAGCATTTCTACTGGTACGGAAGACTACTCAAGAAAAAATACTGCACGTATGAAAAATGATTTTTTTTCCCATGATCTCGTCAACTGATCAATCCATTGATCATGAATGACTAATATAATCTGATTGACTGACTTTTTGACAAACTGACACACTGGCTGACCGATAGACCATCATACTGTCTCAGAGCTAGCTGACTTACTGAACGACTGATTCACTACCCTTTAAACCAACCGGCGATTTCTTTCAAAGAGTCTTCTGACCAGTCCGGCCGTACAACCAGATAACACACCCACTGATTGCTGGAATTTGCAAAGGAATTAACCGAAAAATCAACATACAGGCTTACATATCGGAAAATGCTTTTTTTTTTACCAATTCGTAGTAGCTTCAGCTGTTGTTTGACCATTACTATCGCAACCCATGGACAGATTTTCCCCGTCATTGTTTCGTTCTGCTCGTGAGGCGTGGTTCAGTGCACCCATCTGCGCAATTTTTTGGGCATATGCTGCTGCTTGCTGGCTCATCTCAGCATTAAGCTTCATTTCTGGAACACCGTGCCTTCTTCGATATTCGTTATGTTTGCTCAATGCTTGTTCTTCTTCTAATCCTTAAAAGCATCAGAAAGTAACGCTCTAAGTTGTACCTTTGGGCAGAAAGTACGGAATAGAAAGGGATTCTCCGTAGTTTGCATTCACTTATTATTTATTCGTTTGTTTTTCTGGTAATCTTCATATTCATTTTTATTGTTATGCTTTCATATCTCCCCTCTTGGTACCTCTCTGGAAGCTGAAGAGACACTTTGGAAACGTAGAAGCTCCGAATCTTTCATGTTTACTGAGGCTTTACTGCCTCAGGAAGGATGTTTATGAATATTGGATAAAAAGGTTTGGTAAAATTTAGTACAAATACACTTCTCCCTTTTAGGGTTTAGGTGTTTTCGTTTTATTGTTTGAAGCCGGAAATGAACTAGAACGATACATTACCGAGAGCCCTCAATATTACAGAAAAATAAGCAGAGGTTAAAAAAAGAATACCCGTTTACCTCCACCACCACCACCTGGTGGTGTTGTGGCAGCTCCTCCTCCAGCTGTAGGTCCAGTGCTTCCTTTTGTGGGTACTACTCCTCCTTCTCCTCCAGTCGGTGCAGCACCACCGAGCGTGGTGCCACCCGGTGTGCTGCTACCCGGTGTAACGCCACCAGGGGCTGTACTTCCACTGGTAGGAGGTACCTGAGTTGGTTTACTTGGTTTAGTTGGTTTAGTTGGTTTAGTTTGTGAGCAAGGTACAGGACAAAGCGCTGGCTTCGGGCTTCCTGGTCCTCCACCGGCGCCAGGACTTGCTGTGGGTCCACCGCCGCCTGTACCTGGTCCACCGCCTGCCCCAGGACTTGTGGTGGGTCCTCCGCCGCCTGCACCTGGTCCACCGCCTGCTCCAGGACTTGTAGTAGGTCCTCCGCCGCCTGCACCTGGTCCACCGCCTGCTCCAGGTCCTCCAGATGCTCCAGGCGCTTTGTTCGATATTTTCAGACTGAGATCGACATCGACACCATCCGGTTCAAACTCATACGTACCAGCGCCTACGAAATGGAGGAATATTTTTTTCATTGTGGTTTACATGACTTGGTGCGCATAACTCATCTGTCAAAGACAATAGCTAAGACTCTCGATAGAAACTGAAGCACGTTTAATTTTATCATATTAATTTTTTTTCGACGAGCGCTGAGACATTTTTCTATTGCACTGCGTACATACCGACAACGTTTCCATCTTCGATTTTAAAAGCTCCTGTTTTTGGCGCTCCTCCATTGCCGGTTGGAGTGTCCCCTAGAGGCAGACCAACTGCAGCGAAGTGCACGGGTCGAAAACCAAGGTTCTCTCTTTTCTCGTTTTTTGAGGCGTCGTAAGCGTAAACCTGAACTAAAAATGGAAAAACGTGCAAAAAAAAAAAAAACAATGAATCTATCTTGAAATTTGACCAAAGAAACACCAACGATTGTAAGAATTTCCATTAAGTTTTAAGATAGACATTGTAAGAACTCACAAAAAGTTGCAGATATGGTCTAGCATATGTGCAACCGGCTGAGTCACAACTTAACACAAGCACAATAAAAACATATAGACGATGGCATGGTCAGAGTGTAAGTAGTGCACACAACCTCAGTTATGAATGTTTAGAAAGTACTTTACTTTTAACAAGAACTGGCGAGTTCTTAAGGAAATAAAAAAAACCAAATGAGACTTTTAAACTGCTTTGTATTGTAAAAAGACTTCGTCGAGACCCAAAATTAGAGCCACAGTCGTATATCATAACTATTGCTTCATCAAACTTTCGATTTATTGTTTAGAGTAGCTAGTATTGAATTACATACCTAAGAGGAAGGGAAGCACACAGACGTTGAGACTCCAAGCTTTCATACCCTCAATTGTCGAAGATCAAATTTCAATGTTCACCTCTTGACTTGTTCAAGTGTCACACTCAGAACAAAGCCTTTGAAACGAATGGAAATTTCACGGTGTCAATCTTACTACATCAAAAGTAAAAGAAACGAAAACTGCATCGTTTTCATCGAATTAATATCATTATCAAGCGAGATGTAAACACTAGAAGAATCACTTAGTCGTCAAAGCAAGGTAACACGATATGTATCGTTTAAATGGCGTACATGCTATGAAGAATTCCTAACTTTCATCTCTAAAATGTTTGGTGAAAAATGTGCACACATACCTCTTTGTCCGCGACTCAAAACAACCTGCTACCTGAGATTTTTCCTTTTCCTGCTAAATTTCTTATTTCTTTTATTTGAAATCTGTTATATGTATCTCCGTGCACTGTTTTCACAGGTATTCACCTGTTTAAGATAAAGAGTTCAAATTCAAGAGCTTCTCATGAGAGTGTGAAGATATCCGTGAAAAAGTAATGAAAAATTTATGATCCAAATACCTCTCATGGTCTACTTGACAACGCTCTGGGTCCTGTGTGTTTGTAATTCTTCTATTTTGGGCCCAAACGCCGGTGGTGCTTTTGTGTGATTATTCCATAAGATTACACCTCTCCTCTGCAATGTTTTGTCTCTAGTCTTTCCACCATTTTTTGTTTTGCTTTTAAAACGCACGAGTCGTCTTCATCCTCCGTTTCATCTATTACTGTATGCCCCTCCGGAAATATTGAAGAGACTAATGCAATGGGCAAAGGTTACGACCGCAGTGGATATCTTTCTAGAACAATGCGTCGCGACTGTGGGATCAGATTCACTATTTCATAGCTTGAGGCTGAGTAGAATAAACGTGATATGACCTCTGCTTAAAACATTTTTAACTTATGAGGTTTTATGAATTGAAGGGATGTCCTTATCTACCGAGTGAAGGAGAAATTTAATTTGCGAAACCGCCGTCAACTAAAAAGTCAATCGCAATATTAAAACCATGTAAACTAGGCTTTTTTGTAATAGCTACTGACTACTAATAGATACTGACAAGATTGTTTTTATAAAAATAAATTTTCTATGTTATTTACGGTTAGCAATATGTTATTACAGGAAAGACAAATCTAAATACACCCGTCTATTGCATAGATGCTCACAAAGTTGAGAATGTTTTTAGCAAGAAAATTTTCATCAGTTAAAGAAAACTAAAGTATCATCAAAGAAAATCGAAAAGGTAGGTAGAAAAGCATACATTTTACAACAGAAAATTTGATCTTGAATATCATGTTATGGCATAGGATCATTTAGTTCCTTTCTGAAACTGAATTTCACTTCAGGTTTTCACGGCGACGTGGTGGAATTACATCAGAAAAACTGTTAGAAAAATGTCTTCATGTTTCATCATTGAATGCGACTCGTGGAAAATAAAATTATAATGGTCCGAAGTTGTAACACATCCCTGAAAGGACAACTTTTATTTGCGAACCTATGTCCTGGCTCTTCAAAGAGCTCTGTATACCCCAGCCCTCGACCATCAGTGCGAGGTGAGAATCAGATGTTTCCATTCTCCTACGCTTATAACTGAACGAAGATGAAAGTGGTATCAGGGTTTGCATGTTAGATTCCTTCTGACCTAGGCCTCGCATTGGGATGAGGTGATAGGTTGGTCATAGCTTACCGCAATCAATCGAAAAATTGATCAGTTATTAAGTAGTTTACTAAATTACACCATAATTATATTTTCAAGGGGCTCATAGCATTAATTTTAGGTCAGTAATAAACATTTTTGCTAAAATAGGATGTACAACGGATCCCGGACCAAAGATTTCGCTGAGTTATCCCTCTACTATATTTTTATTATTTTCATTTTTATCTATTCTTTTTTTTTATTTGTCTTTATTTAGTACTTTATGTTATCTTGTTCAATTTTTATTACTTATGCATCAAATCTTCCCACTGAATTTGGGAGTAAAATATATAGTGAGAGTTTCTGTTCATCATCCACCATAATTCTCAATTAAACTTGGACTTTGAAATCTCTTGAAACCATATCCTCCTTCTAAACCTGCTTTCGGGATATTTCGGCAGTAAGTTTCATCAAAAGTTCCTTTCTCGACATTTTTTACGTAGGCATCATCACCACTCTCAAAGTTTCCTAAAGGCTTATAGCGTGCGACAATAAACGTGCATGTTTCTCCATTAGGTTGCTTTTTTGATGCTTTTCCTATTCCCAGCTCCCTGCTGTCTTTCCAGACCAACTGCGTGAAATGATTGGTACCCGACTGTGGACCTTCTTTGCCAAATGTGTAATGGCACACTTCGTCAAACCTGCATCAGAGCAATCCAGAAGCAAACTTATTTAGATACGTATAGTACAACCTCTTCTTGGGCTGAAGAAATGTCTGCAGCTAGCAAGAAATAAATGCTTCATTCTCTAAAAGCAGAGATTAGCCTCCGTGTCAAGCGTTAAAATTATACAACTCGAGTCTTGTTGTAAAACATTTGAAGAGAAGGATGGAGAAAAATTGGAAAAGATAAAAAGGTATAACAGAACATTGTATATGACATTATACATCACATCTGAGTCGAGTCTATTTTGAATGATAGATCATTCATTCAATGGGATTTTCAGGTGGGAAGCGATGGCGGTGGAGTGCTGTGTGAGATACAAATCCGAGAGAGGTTCGGCCTCGAACCCGGTAGTTCAAATGAGTTCTTCTTCGGCGGGACGGATTTTTCCTCAAAGTCTAGTCCCTCGTCTCTCCCCTCCCCCCTCCCCTCCCCAGCAATGATTAGCTATCGGTGGCTATCTGCGAGCTGTCCAAGAAACTCAACAAAATACTGAGACTAACCTCTGCCTATAAAAATTAGACGCACATACCATGTTTTTATTGCTTCCTCAGCAGTCTGCTCTCCGCTGCCATGGCAACCAAGAGAAAGATTTTCGCCTTGATTAGGTCTTTCAGTATATCCAGACTGCACCAGAGTGTCCATATCTGCCAGTGTGCGGGCGTAATCTGCTGCATTTTTACTCATGTCACAACTCAGTGTAAGCGCAGGCGCACGGTGCATTGTTCGGTATCTGTTGTGTATACTCAACGCTTCTTGTTCAAACGGGGAATCTGATAACATATCAAGGATATGGGAAAAAGAACATGATAAAAAGTTTTGTTTCCTGGAGAAAACTCGTAGTGAACAACCATGCCATTTTATACTATTTCATTGATAACATAAGGATGCCCACCGACCTAAGCCGCGCAGTTTTCAAGAAGGAGGACTCCATTTAGTATATACCACTAATTGCTATCGTGCATTGCAAAGGGTTGAGCTGTGAAGAAACATTGTACTTACGAATGCAATTTGTTGTAGTCGGCCTTGGTTGGTTTGGCTGTGGTGGTCGCTGTTTTCGTAGATTCGGTTTTGGGTTGTGTTGCTGTTCTTGCTTATACTGCTGCTGATATCGATGTTTTCCGTTTATTTTAAGATTCAGTTTTAGTTCAAAGTCATTTTGGTCAGGTGAAATGGCATATTCGCCTTTTCCATTTACCCTTCCGTCAGAAATTTGAAAACTTCCTACCTTCTCAGGACGTTCTTTAGAGTTAAGTGTTGTTAACTGTTTCATATCTTGCCTGGTTTGAATTCTTGAATTCAGAAGTTTATGGAGCCACTCGTGAATAAATTTTTTCCGAGTAGAGAAAAGCTTTATGAAAGCATTAGGGGGTCTCCAAGGTATACTAATAGGTTTTTTGGCGTTTTTGTGGTCAAAAGATTTTCCATTTGAAGTCAATTGCTCGAAGACATCCAAGCCTTTTAGAAGATGAGACACTGAAGGGATCTCCCATACACTCTGTTCACTCGGTTGGCGAGATTTATCAATTCCAGTATTCTGGCTATAGGAATGTGCATATCCTGCGAGTCGAACAATTGATTTCTTAAGTACAAATACATTCTAAATTGGCCTTCCTTTCGATTGATAATTATCACTATTATCTATCGTTATTTTCTATATTCTAATGATAATTTCCGAAAGGAATTTAGGAACACATTAAGGTGGATACGATTTAGGAATTGACAGATCATTTAGGGCAGCTCAGACTACTTCGAAGCACAAAATTCTCTTCCTGAGTCGACCGGTCCGGCAAAAAAACTGCTGATTGAAGGTTTGCGTCCTAGACAAAGTGTAATGTTATTGTACTGCGACCAAAAGCTTTCAAAATACGATTTGTAAGATTACTATTTGATGCTACTAGCGTTAACAAACAAGCCGTAATGAGTATAACTGTTAATTGCCGTTATCTGGTGTGAATATGAATTGATATAATCTTGTTTCCTCTACCTGCTTGCAGACTTACCCGCCAGCAAAAAGTTCAAAAGACAAAGCAACACTGTTCTAGTCCGGAATGTCAAACGTGTCTTCATACTAAATAACTTGAGGGTTTTTATCTTGGTGTCCCATTTTATCAGTAACTCGCATCACGCTTCTAGTTTCCTTCACTTACAATCAAACTTAATATCACACTACGCCATGTTATTTTTTTTCGTCTCTTAATCTTTGGATTTAAAGTTTCCCCATCCTTTCCCTAAGGCTACTCACTGAGTCAACCAGCCTTGAAAAATGCACAGCGGGTGTCTGAGATCTTGAACAATTAAGTACTAGTTAAGTACGAGTTGACAACTGGTAGTCCTAAGGAAGCAATTCTTACCATTTCATGCTTCGACAGATATCATTATTTCTTTAAGAAACTGTTCCGATGAAACACGAAATGGTTAGGTTTTCCGGCAAATCTGGCTACTGCTCCAGGTCCTACAAGAATTGTTTCTCTCAAATCGAACGAGCTAAAAACCAGGATAGCTGTTACTCGAGAGAATTCCAGTCTTCCACTTTTTAACTTGACATACATCAGTCTGTTCTTATCCTTCTAAATTCCTGCATTTTCATTTTTTTTCTTTTTGAACAACTGCACTTGTAATAATCGATAAGATACCACTTGTAAAATCACTCACGAACTCTTGGAGGTACTTTACCGATGTAGATTTAAAAGAGACATCGTCAAGTAAAAAAAAAAGGTAAAGCTGAAATAAAATGATATAAATAACTGGCTTACATAGTCAAATTAACGTGGCTTCGCTATAACTTAATTTTAAATGCGGGCAATTAACAATTGTATGACTTCGACTTTCAGCTGTCGTTGTTTAATTTTCTTTTGATACCATATGAAAAATCGCGATTTTAATCAATCTGCTCGGAAAACTTTGCGAACAAAAGTGGTCTATTCCTTGTGTAGTAGCTAACTTTTCATTTCTCTGATAATTTCAGTTCGTTGCTTGCGCAAACAGTTTAGAGATACCTGTCAACTTGTAACTGTCTTTCTTTCTCTATATCTGTCGTTAACGCCTAGATCTTTCAAATTATCATGATGAAACTAAACCTCTTAATAACCAGAGAATGAAATCAAATGAAATTTAAAAAAAAAAGTATAAGATAATTTATCTTCAACGTGAAATTTACTCGAGTTTATGTTTTCCATTTAGTGATATAATGGTAAAATACAGATTCGAAAGCTCATTTTCTTTCTCTGTCTACCACTTGAAGTTAAGACTGCAGGCATTTTTGGTCGAGTGTGGACGGCCACCGTCGATAACTGCAGCTAGATGCCTAGCGGCTAGGCTAGGTTGTTAATGGCCTAAATGTCTGCTAGTCAGAAATTAACAGAACGTCTACAGAATGTATCAGGTGTTATTTTGAAATGTCAAGCGAATCCAGACTAATTTTATTGGCTAATGAGTTGCAGAAATTTTCGGTATTCACGGTCTCGCTATAAACCTAGTTATTAACAGCCCAGTTCTTCATAGAAAGCCTTTGTTGTTCAATAGTAAAGCATCCTGGTGCGGAATATATAGTTCTGCAGTTCATCTCCTCGTAAGGACTAAAATTTCCTTCTTTGTCTGAAGCTCGTATAAGACCAAAAACGACATCTTTAATTTCTCCAAATCTGACTTGATTACCAATTTATAACTAGTAACTACTGTTAATGAAAATCTTCACTCGCTAGCTGGTAGAGACTGTTAACGGAAAATATCTTTATTAGCATACTTACACTTTATCACCTAGTCTTAATATGAATGAAAACCAGAATAAAAGAGTTCGTTCATTATTACTGGTTTTTCATCATTGTGGGGCTTTGACAGCCCTCATATACGAGGTTCTCACCTTACTTTACTTTAACTTTACTTTGAGTTATCTCAAAACATTATAATAGTCTGTTGCTCTTTCTCAAATGAGACACATTATAGTGTCTGCACTTTTCTTTAACTTTTAGGTACCAACGTGTCTTATAGAAGCTTTTTATCTCGTAATTTATCGCAATAACTTGGATCAAATGTTCCTTTGAAGACGTTCCTCCTGTACTCTCCCTTGTAATTTCCAGAGGGCTTGAAGCGTCCCACAACGAAAACGCACGGCATTCCGTTCTGGTACCCAGCTGCCTTTCCAATCCCGAATTCATGACTATCAGCCCAGACAACCTGCGTGAAATGACCTGAAGACATACTGAACTCTCCTCGGTCAAAGTCGTAAGAGCACACCTCATTATACCTAAATAGGGAAAAAAAGAAACAACTCTGTCTTGAGGAATTAACTCACATAGGCACACGCATACAGGTTCACTACTAGTACATGTTGAGGTCACATAAGGGCATGCGAGGAGCATTTCCTTTATACATCTCCTTTTATTAAAAGGGCAACTTAAACTCTTCTTGGATAACACCAAGTAATCCGTATGCTTTGAAAAGGAAAATGTCACTGAATCGGGTGGCTAAAATCTAGCCTTGCTGGTAATCTCATGTGAAAGATAAATATATTACATAGTTTTCATTTTTTTTTTTTCAATTTTTACTTTGTAAATTACCATCGCCAAACAGAGGCATTTTCGTAAGTATAAAATTATGTTTTGGGGAAAAAGTTACACTTTTTACGGGCTTGGCCTTGTTTACTTTTTCCTTGGAAGGGAAAAGGACTAAACGTGATAGAAACCTTGTTTTCCCTCAGTCTTCTTCAAACATGTCGAAGATTAATTATTTGATGGTAGTATGGATATGTCTTAAAAATCGCCATCTTGACTTCGTTTGAATGTCTTTACTATCTGAGTCAGCTGGGGAAGATTTTTGTAGTGAGTGATATCAATGCGATTCAGTACAATTCTCTGAACTTTTGCTTATTCTGAAGTGACCAGGCCATGTTTACTTGTCAAAACTTCGTCCATCATTGGTTAAGTACTCTATATACATGAGTCTGCCATCGATAAAAAAGGGCTAGTATTGACCTTACCAGTTTGTTATGGCCTCCTTGGCGGTTAGAGGGACTCCATACTCCTTACAGCCCATTGCAAGATTCTCTCCTTCGTCACTTTGTCTTACGGCATCGTAGTCATGCTGAAGCGAGCCCATTCCGGCAATCTTTTCGGCATACTTCTTTGCTTCCAGATTAAGCTTCGGGTCGAGCTTAATCGGAAGGGCGCGGTGTATTTTACGGAACGCGTTGGTCGTGCCAACTGCTTCCATTTCAAACTCCTCATCACCTAATAACGTGACGGTAACATTAATCGCTTAAAGCCGTTTTTTTTTTCGACCATTTCACTCCCAAGATCTAAATATTGACTCTCCACACTGTTCTTCATACATTCCTTATCATCATAATCATGATGGTCATTTAAACAATATCCCCTACATAATATTTTTATCACTCATGAACTTTCTGCTTGGTGCATGATTTTGTGCGTCATGCATTGATGTTGTGAAATGAATTTCATTTTTTGGTCACTCCAAAGAGGTAAAGGTTTAAATATTTAAGCTTTTTAACTCTCCTCTTTTCGCGCTAGCTCAAATTTTACATTTACCGATCTATAGACAGTTTATACTGGAGAAGACTTTTCCAAAAATGTTAGTATGCGAGAAACTCTGGTACGGGAGTAACATTTTTCACAAATTGAGCCTCGCCGTTAAAAATATCTTGATAGAGCAATAAATATCGTTTGCACTTACTTTGCGTTTGTATCTCCTTGTTGCTTTTGCCAGTCTCAGAAACGGAGGCATTGACAGCTGTAGGCTGTTGAGTGGAACTTTCCTTGGGACCAACTTTAGAAGCATCGCCAGGTTGTGGCTTCTTAGCTGCCTCGTCCGAGCCACCTTTGCTAACCTCAGGTCTGTGAAATTCCCCTGAACATGCAACTGATGTGACTAAAGCACCATTGGCACCCTTTATAGTCTTCCAGTGACAGTTGGGCCCAAGGCCTTCATTGAGCCCAAGTTTCTTGTCTTTCTCTGCTATTTGATTGTTGGAATCCACTCCTTTGTTGCCAACTGTCCCATTTCCGGCATTTCGAACTCCAGGCACGTTGAAAGGAAAATTTCCATTGCTTGGTTTCTTATCTTGTGCTTCAGGCTTCACGTCCGCAGCAGTAGTTGTGGTTGTTTTGCTTCCTTTGTTCCCGTCATTACCAGGACTTGAAAGGTCAGTGCTCTGGCTACTGGGCGAAATGTTGACAACTTGTACGGAAGCATTCTCACCAACGGGTTTTCCTTGCTCGGCATTAGCTGCTGGTTTGTTTTCTAAACCAATCACTACTCCGCTTGACGCATTAGTTTTACCAGGCGTTTTTAATGTAAGGGATATTGCTGGGGTATTGGATTGTGTCCCATTTTCCTTCTTTCCTTCATCCTTCCCTATGTTCAGACTTTCTTTAATCTTTTTTGCCAATTCTTGGACAAATTCTGGGGAAGGCTTAGACGATTCTGTTGATTCTTGAGTGCTATTTCCATTTCTTTCGGCAGTTCCAGTTAGACCGCCTGATTCTTGCTTTTGCTGCTCGTTGGGTTCTTGCTTGCTAGCTAGAGTTTCTTGTCCCTGTGCCTTGGCGAGTGTCTGGTTTGCAGCCGTTTTGTTCCCTCGAGTCATCTGCGGTACTTTCTGATCTTTTGCTTCTTGTACAGAATCCGTTGGGGCATTAGCTTTGCTATCACTAGCGGGCGATCGCTCGTGAAACAGAGGACTACCACTGACGAGAACAAAGTCTTGGACAGGACTTGGGACAGTTTCTCTCTGCGCACCAGCTGCTGCTGTATGTTTCAATGCAATGTGTCTTTCATGAGTCCTGTGGCGGAGATTCATTTGATGTCCTGTGTGTCTGTCACCATGCAAAGCGTTGTTATTCTGGTGTCCTTTGTTAGGTTCGCTGAACACTTTTATTACTGAGAATAAAAAATAAAAACGATGAAAAGTTACGTCTCCCCAAAATAATTCTAAGGCATTACTTGACACAAATCACTCCTCATTCCATAATTTATGTATCGTACCCTTACTAATTACTCATATGGGTACGAAAATACTCCTATCAACTCCTAGTGAAGCTTAAGAGGCTGTAACTCAGTATCTGTCCTATGTATTTGAGTATTCTTCCAAACTCTCGGATTGCTTTTGTGCAACGCAAGGCACTTCTATTCATCTATAAGATACAAAAGATCTGGAAGGAAATGATTTCGCTCCGATTTACGGTTAAACTAAATGCAATGATGCAAACTTACCGCATTGCAAAAGTATAATAGTTGCTATGGACCACAAACAGCTCATTTCGTTCTACCTTGGGAGAGAAAGTATACAAGTGATTTGATATCATCTCGGTTAGATTGGCGATCGATTGCTGAGATTTTGAAGCTCTTTCTATTGCCACACGAGAGGAAGTGGTTCCTTGAATTTTGAGGCCAAAAAGAGAGAGAGAAATAGCGAACCACAATCCAAATTCCCAAAGAACTTATAATTTTTTGATTCCGTAATAATAATATGAAAAATCGGAAATAGTTATATCGTAATAATGAAAGCAGGAAGGATGCTACCAACCTATCCTGGTTACAAAGTGAACAACGTCCTGTTTAGACTAAGATTCACGGATAAAAAAGACGGATCAGTTTCCCTTTGCCCTGTATTTTTCCAATATTTCCTTCCAAAAGTTACTCGTCTGTGGAAACAGCACCATAAAATATGTATTGACCGGGAAATATACTTATTGACAGCATGACTGAAAAAAAATTACCTCATGTGCTGGTCACCGAAATGCTGGTATGTCAAGGACTTTTCAACGCATGAATTCTTCTCCATTTTTCCTTTTTTTTTTCCTTTGGGGTAATTTTAAGATTTGAAATAAAACCTGCTGTGCAGAAATGAGCCTTACTCTTGTAACTCCAGCCTGGAAGTCGCTATCCAAACTAAAATTTCCCCCGTTGCATCTGATGTAACACTCGTTCAATCCTTCTCACCTCCTAATTCACCTTTATTTCTTAGCAAACTCTGCGAGAGCTTCTCCCCATCGATTTGATTCGATTGGGTCAAGAAGTGGGCCCGAAAACCATTCCAAATGAAATGGAATCCAAGCTTAATTTAGTGCGTGAAATTTGGGTTTAGTTGGAGAAAGTATCGTTCAAACAAAAAGTCTTTGGATACTTACCTTGCAGCGCACAAACCGGTTCTCTTTTATACCGTTTTTAAGAGTGTGCTTTTGGGGTTTAAACCGGAGACGCCCAAATAGAACAAACTATTTGATATCTTAGTGATAACCCTGTTTTTCTTACTCCAGTGGATCTTACAATCATTGGTCCCCTGATCTTCATGTAATTACCTTAACCCTTTAACTCCCATGAGTGACCAACAATATCCATACAATTTCAAGCAGATAAGTGATTGACAACGAAGAGAAATATTAATTAGGAGAATACAAGTTGATCCAATACCAAATTCTCTAAACTAACATCATAAGAATTTTGTGACAGATAGTAAGGAGAATTCTTGATGAAATCGTGGGAGTAAAAGGGTTAATGACTTTACCGACGGTACCGGTCGAGGTGTCAGGAATGAGTGATAAAAACGCATTGACAACAAATAAAATTCAACAGAAAGTTTCTAAAAGTATTAAGTCATTAGATAACAATGAAAGAACTTAAGGGATTATTTGCTTTCGTTATGTCTACACCCAAAATATTTAGAAAACCAGGAAATAAGATTTCATAAGGCTAAAAAGCATGCATTAAATGTTACTAACTGACGTATGAAAGCGATCTTTTTTCGTCAAAGAAAGAAAAATTTGTATTTTATCGGGTGCGGTGTGCACTTTGAAAGAGAAAAATCCTAAATAACAATTTTCAACATTATACTAACTTGATAAAAAGGAATAGATCTATCCGCATTGCCTATTCCTTGATTATAACTAAATGATTAAAATCCTTGATCGTAACTTGTTTCTTCCTTCAGTAGCCAACATTCAAATGCAGACCTACAGTGAAGGCCAAGCATAGAGCAAAGCAGTGTAACAGACCAGTGCCGAACTAACAGCATACCTGGTCCATTAGGAAAGAGGAGACAAAGGAGGGTAGTGGACCGTTCAATCTTCGGTAAGAATTGATTTTAAACGCTGAAGAATGAGATCGAGTTCAGGTCTACCGAACCATTAAATTTTACGTGACGAGTGTAGGCCAATGATGGCGAAATTTTATCGCAAACTGTCAACACTTGGCTTAGTACAATAGGAAGAAAGTGGAAACTTCAACCTTTGGTACTGAATGATTTTCAACAAAATCATCGTTTATTTATCTATAAACATAACTCCTCTATTTCTTATTTTTAAGCTTTTTCTCGTTTAGAGGACTCTTAACACACTCGTAGAATATTCAGAACTAAATGAATGTTTCATTGCCGGTGCTTTAAAGTACGCATAAAAACAAACAGAGAAACACGTATCTGTTATTCAGAGGAAAAGAAATCTAAATTTCATGCTTTATGCTTATGAAGCACATGGCGGGGATCATGAGTAACGAAATTTCGAAAAGCGCTTTCAAGCTACCGCCATGCCTACCACGATACTTCTCATTCAAGTTTTTGGTCAGTGTTTTATACTTAGGGCAGGAAAGGAAAAAATCTGCAGAAGAATTCCATTTAAACCTCCACGGTGTAATCAGTTCTTTTTCCAATCTCCTGCTTGTTCAAACCTCTTAGAGGCCACTTTTATACATTATTACAATATCCTTCGTTAAAGTTTCCTCTCATCACTTGATCCTGAAATTCTCCCATCATGTTACCCGCGATGTCATAACGACCAACCACGTAGATGCATTGCATTCCATTCTGAGTGGCCTTTCCTTGTCCGATTCCAAGCTTAACGCTGTCCTTCCATACCACCTGAGTGAAGTGACCTGTTCCAGAGCTGAATCCTCCCGAAACAAAGTTGTAGCCAGGTTTGCATACTTCATCGTACCTGTACAGCACACAACAAATTATCACGTTAAAGGGAGTATCATTCGACTTAAAAACAATCACCATTGCTCTTGTAGCATATACATTTAAAAGGCTTTCAAAACGATACCAGTACCATTTAAGCTTTAGCTTACCCTCTCAAAAACGATTAATAAATAACCTCTCGCACGAGTTGAAAATCCAGCTTTCAATAGTTGTGCTTTCAGTGTGATCACTTACCACATTTTAGTCGCAGATTCTCCAGTCAGCGGGGTACCGTTTGACGCACAGGCGTAGGCCAAGTTCTCCCCCACATTTCCTCTTTCTCCAGAAGATGAGTGCAGCAGCTGACCCATGTTTGCAATTTTTTGGGCATACGCCTTAGCTTGGTTACTGAGATCTCGATCCAAGGTCATCTCTTCGACTCCATGTACCTTTCGATATTTATTATGCGTATTCAACGCTTCTTGCTCAAACTCTGAATCAGCTGTGAATAGAAATTACAAATAAATTCTCCGTTTTTTGTCTCTTTTCATCTTCCCCATCTACTATCTCTTTATCATTATTTGCAAAAATCAAAGTTTGGACGGCTTTCATCCTTGCTCAAGCCAGATATGACATAGATTTCAAGCTGTCTTAAGAGAATTTCCCTCTTTCAGTTTTTAATTAAGTTTTTTTAATCCGATTTTCTCAACGTCACAATTAAAGTTAATGCTTACGCTGTGGCTCGTTAGAATCAACACTGCTGCCACCAAGGGCGCCGCCACCTCCACTCGGTGGGCTGGGGCTGGGGCTGGGGCTGGGGCTAGGGTACGATTCAGGTTGGGGACGTTGCCTAGAACCTGGCCAAGGTCTCTGTCCCCAAGATGTTTGAGAACTTGGGCGACGGCTTGGCTTTCTTTGCCATCTCCAAGGATATCTTCTTCCTCCATTCACATCAACGTCCGTTTCTGGAGTACTCTCTATTCTATGGTCTTCCTTCATTACTTTGCTCGAAGAATGTTCTGCCTGTCCATTATTTCCAGCACTATTTATTTCCGGATAGTGGGCTACTTTTCTACTGTTTAAAAGTGGAATACCTTTTGCCATTTTCAAGAAGTACACTATCCTCTGATTCCCATTTTCCTGTTCACTTCCCTTCGACTTGTTGTTTCGGATCTCATGAGAGGTCCTCTGATTGTGGGTTTTAGCTCCATAAAACGGCATCAGCACTTTTCCCTCGTCAACTTCTTTAGATTGGTCTGCCTTAGGAATCTCACCACCCTCCTCTGGGTTCCCAACTTTTATTTGAAATTGCTTATCATGTAGTGCATTTTGATCTAATGAGTTTATGGAGCTGTCAGTTTCTCCATTAGTACCTACAGTCTCGTTTTCAGAGCCTATAACCACAGGGTTTGTGCTTTTTTCTCCTTCCTGTTCGGAGAAACCTTGGGAGAAAGATTCTTCATGTTCTGGCTGATGTGATGTCTGTTGGTCTGTTAGGGTTTCTGTGTAGCTGCCCTTTGAAAGTTCTACTCTAGCTGGTGATATTGATTCTTCTGGTTGCTGCGCTTGTCCATTTGCAAAGTCAGCATTACTGTTGCCAAAAGTTTCTTGCTTTTGTGTTTCGATGTTTGTGGGTGAAAGAGAGTTGTCTTCATTTGTTTCAACTCGGTTAGGCACGCTTTCTGAAAAATTTGAGTTGTCACTTATTTCAGAATTCACTCCAGGTTCTCGTTCGTTACCGCTTGGCGGGGACTCCAATCGCTGCGTTCCTTGAATGGATTCTTTATCAGGGACTGGATTTGCTGAAGATTCTTCAGTGTATCTATCTTGATGCCCAACGTTCTCATGGTGGCTATAACGGGATAAATTATCACTTTTTTCATCTGTGGGTGAAGATGCTTCGACTGACTGGTCTCTTGAGTCTATATGACCAAAGTTTTTCAGGTGAACACCCCCACCATGTTGGGGAGGCCCATGAATTTCTTTGTAGTATTCCTGTTCGTTTGATATTCTTTGTTGCGACCTATACGAGTGGTCGTTAGGTTTGTTATTTGAACCAGGATCACGTGTAACACTACCACTTTGTAAAGTGTCCGTATGTTCATCGGGTTTTTGCTGTGTTTCTTCGCTATTAGTGCCTGTATTTTCATAATTAGTGGTCGTGTCCACAGCTTTCCCTGAAAGTTGGTGATGCGATGTTTCCTTTTGGTTTGTTGCTTCGGCCTCATTAATGTCAGTTGGCAATGTCTCAGCGGACGGCTGGCCTTGATCTTTTGATAGCATCTCATGCTCGAGATTACTAATTGCCGCATGATTTTCCTCTCCCTTTGAAATTGGTGGCATTGTCTCTGTGTCTTCATTTTGAACTAATGGTTGCTCTCCTTCTCTGTACAAAATTTTACTAGATCCATAGTTAGCATCAGGTTCCTGTTTAGCAGTAGTCTTTGATTCTTCTGTGCTCTCCTTCTCCTTTTGTGAGCTTGCATCGTTGGTAAATGGTTCATCTTGTTTTGGTCTTTGATCGACTGCAATCCCTGAGAACGGGCGATTTGGTGTGGCGTGTAGTGATTCCTCTTCATTTTGGATATTGTTAAGTGATTTATCTGTAACAGTCTCAGAGGAGGTTGGTGACTGTTGATTTTCGGCTTCTGGTAATTTCTCGTTTTCTTGACTTTGAGAAGCTGGATTGTGTCCTTCACGATATGGCAGGGAAGGTGTTGTTTCGCCTTCCTCTGAGTCTCCATTGGAAAATATAGCATGCTCACCAGACTGCAATGGTATGTCATTGGTTTGTTTTTCAGGTGATGGTTTCCTAAGAAGCGATTGGCCAGTTTGCTCGTCTGATGGCCCCATAACTATCCTGTGAGTGAGTTCTTCGTCAAATGCGCTTTCGATTATCTTATGCGGCCGGAGTTGATTAACCAAGGTTCCAAATCCAGGAGATCCTTGGCTTGATGTTGAACCCTCTATATGCATTGTGAAGGAATCATTTGATTTTAAGTAAGGTGTTTTTCTGACCTTATAAGCATTGTGATATTCTTTATTATCAGATTCACTTCCATCTTTTAAGTGAGACGCAATGTGCTGGCCATAATTGTGACTGTGCTGATGATATCTTGGGTGTTGTTGTGGGGGTGTATTTTCAGCTTGAGAAATTCCTTCGTTAATCTTGAAACTGTTTGACAAAGCATTTCTTGATTCCTCTAAAGGAACTGCACCTGTCTCCTTTTCGAGACGCTCCACACCACTCAGCGATGGTTCCGTAAGAGTGTTTTGCGAAGAATATTCTGTTTGTTTGTCATGCGTCCTCCAGTACTCAGAAGATCCAGTAATTGCGTTTGGGTTATATCCGCGGTGTCCTTCTACATCGTGGTTTCCTTGCCGTCCGTTGTGCAAAACACTAGACCCTAACAGGTGTGATTCTTCATCATACGCTTTGATATAGGTTTTATCAGGTATTTTGTTGTTCACTGTTATCTCCTCAACAGATGGATTGCTTTTCAAAGCATCGGCCGGAAAATTCTCCTGGGTCTCCCCTGTCACTAAGATTTGGTGCACTCGCTCCACGGGGTGATCATTCACTCCCGTTTTGCCAGGTCGTTCGCGTTCATATTGGTAACTCTTCGTTGGATTAGAAGACGATCGGTCGACAGAGGAAGGACTTCCCTCAAGTTTTACGATTTGTGAAGAGGTGTCTACCGTTTGATCAATTTTTGTGTGTTTTGTGGGTTCTGGGACTTTATTATCTATTTTAGATGGTAACACATCAAAAGAGGGTCGTGGTTTCAGAAATTGATGTTGTTCGCCCTTCTCATTTGCATAAACACCCTTTCCCCTATCGCTAGATAGATGGCTCTCCTTTGCTATATCATGAGCAGCAAATCCCCAGACGCCGTGTCCTGCGTGATATTCTTTTAACACGTGGTCATTTCCTTCTCCTTCGCTATTGCCGTTCTGATCGACATTTAGCTTTGCAGAAGCTTGACTCTCATAGCTATTGACAGGCTTGTTGTTTACTTTCCCTGTATGTTCAGTGCTGCTCCCTCTTTGAGATGTTTGGGTCTTACCCGATTCGGTAAATGGGACTCCGTTTAACAGAGGAGCTCCTGTGAACAGTGCCTCGGTGTAGCTATATCCACGATCAGAAGGGGATCCCTTCAAAGACGATTGCAGAGTTGCTGCAAGGCCTGCTTTTTGTTTGTTATAATGATGAAGGTCTTCCTTATTTGGATCGTCCTTATGCTTTTCTGGCTCGCCTTGCTTAGAGGAAAGGATCATCCCTAGTCCCTTGTGGTGTTGAACATCCTCTACGGGGCTTCCCATAAGTAACAAGTAATGTGATCTTTGTTTCGGAATGGACTCCTTTTTGTTGTGCTTCTTCCTTAGGGACTTTGTGAACGTTTCTTGAGCTGTTATGGGAAAACGAAGATCGAAATTAATTAAAAAATAAAGAGGGAAAGCTGCTTTAAGACATTGAAAAAATTCAAATCATTATTGCTAAAGAAAGTTGAAATAAAAAAATTATTATTCCATCTATTTTCGATATTAACGTTTTCGATAAACTCACCAAAAATAAAAATTGTAATGGCACAGATAATCTTCAGTTGACGCATCATGATAGCCTTACTGCAAAGAAAAAAGGGTCATAAAGCATGGTTTACAATAAAATTTTTTGTAATATCTTAAGGAGCCTTTTCAAATACAAGCTACTTACCATTTGAAGTTGGCGAGAGACCACAGTGTATTACGAATTTATCATCGGGAGAACCTTTGGTACCCTAAATCTACCTGGTTCGTGTTTTAGCAAAACTATTTCTTGGCCGCTTCAAAGAAAATTTAAACAAAACACCTAAAATTGTCGAGCAACAGATAAAGGCAAACAAAGTGAACGTCCTCAAAGCCTATTACTTCATATTTTGTTTACGCTCAAGGCAGGTAAGGTCAAAAAACTCGAGAGTGCTTTTAACCTTAACATCTGGCTGGTTCCAATTTTCTCTAATCTTGCATATCTTTGTTAAACGAACAGTGTCCAGAATTGTTTATTTGATTGGCAAGGAAGGCTTTAAATCTACATTAACCTTGTGTAAGGTCTAATGGTAAAGGAAACTAAAATTGCAGTATCAGTGAGCTGATAGTGAAGTCCAACGTTTCAATGCTATTTTGTCTAAAAACAGCGCTTTTCTTTAATCAGATAATGAGTTTAGAATACCACTCCAACGAAAATTTGCCCCAGAATCAGTTCGACGAGAACACTATCACTGATAATAACTGTAGCAGTAAAATCTGGCATCAATTTTATATGAGTCTGTGTGCGTTCCAATATGGAACGTAGCTAAGAAAGCCTTCGCTGTTTCCTCAACATTCAGATCTAGGATAAGGTAGAAAATTTGTCTGATTGATCTGTTTCAGTTAAACTTAGTTGAGCAACAGTCGAGATTACAATAAATCTCTCTTTACACGGCCGATGGGATCATCGGCAAAATGATTAATGTCAATAGAAACTGATTTTTTCAAGCGTAATTTCCTCTTGGATCGGTTGACGACTGATTAATTGAGTGATAGAGTCGAAGGTTAATAACGTGTGCACAACTGACTGAAGCCAAAAACAGGTTATTAATCAACCGAAGAAGATCTTTCACTTGGCCTCAAGATTAACTAATTATGTATTTTATGTAGATGTAATTAATATAATGTCTATAGAACATCTGTCAAATTTGCTGAAAGTGGCTCGCAATTTGTATTATTTTTATCTAATTGCCATATCATGAGTATAAATACAAGGCAACAAGAAAAACAAACAAAAACAAAACAGGAGAAAGAACCCAAGAAAGAACACAAACACAAGAATTGGTATTTCAATTTTATTTATAAGGAAAAACCAATCTTCCTTTTCAACACCAAAGAAGTTGGCTCTCTTATTCTCAGCATCACTCAATTCTTCGAGCTTCAGCCGGAAATCTAACAAGAAGATAAGGGAGCATTAGATAAGTCGTCAACTATAACTCTTACCTCTCACACTTTCACACACTTCACTCTTCTTTTTTAGATTATCAATATTACATCGGCGATATAGGCCTGCTTGGTAGAGACATTTCCAGAACCCTTTCCAAGAGTAAAACCTATGCCCTTCCAACAGTTTTTACGCATGCTCTACCACTGAGGTGTGATTCATGTTACTGGCATGCCTACCGCACGCGTAAATTCGTCAATGCTTTTGCGTTGTAACGGAAATTTTTGTGGTACATGTAGTTGAAGATTCGTTTCCGTTAAGAATGATGGTGATCAGATTTCAGAATCCACACTTAATATCATGAAAAATGAACGTTTGGGAAAGAAGAATATCTTCGTGTGAACTACAACTGATCTTAAAAAGGAACGTGTTACTGATGCCAGCGACCAAAATAATACTTTACAAACCTAGCCCATAGTATAACTTTCAATCCAGTTTCTGTACTTGCTCACTCTGGCATTGACAGAGTAATGTCCCGGATGACAACCACCTGTACCCCAACTGACCACACCCTGTAGGTACCACCTGCCGGTCCAATCCTTACATACAATTGGTCCACCACTGTCAGTGTTGCATGTGCTGATGGGACTAGAGCCACCATGACCTGTACAGAACATGGCGTCTGTCACAGGGATACCAGCGTCTTTGTTATCTCTCTCGCATTCTGACTGGCTCACTGTAGGGAGCATGGCCTGTTTGAGGATATCTGCTTGACTGGACCAGTCCTCGGGAATTGTCAAGCCCCAACCTCGGGTGAACAAACACACAAACAAGAAAAACAATGGAACAGCTTTCAAAATGTCCCAGGACCTTAACACTTCTGATAAAAGGTACTTTTCAATTTTAACATCATGATAACAAGGGGTGATCAACGGTTACCAATCAAAAGTAAGACTTTTCTTCTCACAGTTTATTCTAAGGAGTTGAACGAAGTTTTTGTGATTAACTTTCACTTCTCTATTTGAAACGATTTCGCTGTGAGAAAACGGTGAGGGGGGAGAGATACCGAACAAGCTGTAAAACCATGTTTCATTCCTTTACGAATTGAAAGAGCTGGTCAATCAGGATAACACGTCGGAAGCGTTTGTCAGCAAGGGGTTAAAAATGCTCTATTTTCTCGCCTTTGACCATAAGGATACCAACACTGAGAGTATCCAATTCTGAACTTTTTCTTAACGTCATTTTCTTTGATAATGAAGAATTACTGCAATTGGAATCACTTGAAAGAAATTAATAAAATCCACTCGCTCCACTCCTGTAAATAATTACCTGTGGCATAGCATCTTTTTCTAGCCGGGATGTTGTAGCCTTGATTAGGAAGGCAGATCAAGCTGACTTGTTCATTCAGTACAGCGGGACGGTTCAGTCTTATTAATGCTGATTGAGCCGGAAAAGATAGAAACAATGTAAATCTCATTGTTATTGATAGCCTTGTTGAGGTATTCGGTTTAACCTGGTATTTTCTGGGTTTCAATCTTAAAACAAGATTCTCCTAATTCACAGCTTTGAAAGACCTTCGCTAAATCTTATGTTAACTCCGCCGATGTCTATTTACTTAAGCAATTTTAGTTCTGGGATAGGATTATTGGTTTCTCATGGAGCTCGAAGAGTTCCATGGAAATACTCTAACGAAACTGTAAGATGATCTTAGTGTAAAAGGATCGGGTTATCTACTCCAAAACAAAAGAAAATCAATTAATGTTCTCTTGCTCCAAAACTCGTTTGTTTATTTTTCGTAATCATTTAGTTCCTATTTCTTCACTTGAATGTTCTTACTTTCAGTAATTGCACGCTGCTAAACACCGAGTCAATCTATCACTTTCCCGTTTGTCCAATTCCCATACACTGTATTTCATTGTTCTTTGTTCGTTTTCAGAGCGTGACTTGCAATGGTATCAGCCTCTTACTACAGTTATCAATCAGTAACCTTGAATTACTGAATACTTATCTATTTGGCCTTACCAATATCATTGTTCACAATCGAAGGCTTATTATAATGTGGGTGTACCACGATATTCGCCACATCGAACACTTGTTCATAACCCTCTCGTGTGCTCCTTCGGTGTTCACCGAGAGTTATCCGAAAATCCCTGTAATTCTGAGGTTTCTTCGCATGATCCACGCAATGGGCCGCTGTTACGATCCACTGTGGGCTAACTAGGGCACCTCCACAATGATGGCCGCCAAGATAATTAATTTGAACCATCCAAGGCCATGAATTAGGGGCTGCATTATAACCACTGATGATTCTTGTTTGCGGGCGAATTCCACAGGTTGCTGAAAAAGATGGGATAAAGCTATGATACACGCTTAAAAAAATTAGGTGTTATTCTGATACAAAAGCATCTCAAATAAGAACACTTTAATTTTTAAGTGGAGTGTTGAAAGTGATCTGGGAAAGACAATTGTAGGCATTTGGAGAAAAATTTTGGCTAACAAATATTAATTTGCATCACCCTATAACTCTTTGCCATTGTATATTTTTTCGGAGTTGAATTACTGAAATTAAATTACGTACCTTCAGCGCTGGTAAGAAGCCCTGAGGAACAAGATATATGTAAGGTTAAAATCAATGTTCACAAATTAGAGTGATGGTAAAAACTGCAAAAGCAAAATGTGAAAAATCCACATTACCTGTGCTATAAAGCAATACAATAACACCAACAGAAGTGAACATTCTTCACGTCTGCCTTGTTTCAGCGATCTCTGCAAAACTGATTCCGACGCCCTTTTGTATAATGATGCTAATTTGGAAAACTCTTATTTTTGAAAATGATTGTCATGGTTTAAACAGCTTTTAGACTGTTAAAATAGGTTGCCAAAACTATTTTATTAGATTCTTTGTTGGAACGATAAAAAGTAATTAAAGGTAGCGATCTTCTGGCATTTTAAAATGACAAGAAAATTCATTCTCACGTTTGTGTCATTCACAGAGGACAATCTGAATGTAGATTGAAACATACACTTGCTCATATGCTATCAAATTTTCTCGGCTTGATGGGTTACCACTATTTTTTTGAGTATGGGGCTTCGCTGCACGATCGAGCGCTTCGCGTGCGCTGCGAGCTCCGCTATAAAGGCCAAGTATATAGGCCAAGTGTATGGGCCAAGTATTTGGGCCAAGTTCTCCTCGGCTTAACTGATAGAACATCCCTCAGTTAAAGCAGAACAGACCAAGATTCAAATCCTTATAGGGCTTCAGATTCTCCCGCCTCTTCCCAAACTTAAATAACATGGCTGAAATTTATTCCTCGTGGCCGGGGGAACTCAGATTTTTCTTTTGTCCTACGCTCATCACAAGACAAGTAACATCTTTCTCATGACTCTAGTTCATTCCTCAACTTTTTTTATTCTATTCAATTGTATGACACCTCCGACATTGCGGATCTTTGCTGTATTCATGAGGCGTATCACTAACGAACTTTAAAATGACCCAGCTCTACAAGAGATTACTAACTCTGTGGTGGAACATCGGAGCGTGGAATTCGGGCACCTTTGATCTTACTCCTCATTAAACAATCACGGTCTTTTTTAATTAACACAACAGGTCAATACGGCGAAATTACAAGTATGCTATGTGAGTAATTATCTTTTTTTATATCTAATTTAGACGCCTGAACTTTTATAGGAAAATGGTAAACACACTCTGATTTCATTTTCGGGTTTGTTTGTTTTACATCTTGATCAAAGGTCAATACAGGGGGGAAATCTTCTCAGTTCCAATAAAAAAGACAAAGCCATTTTATTGCACAACGTTTTCGTGCTCTTCAATGTTTCTTCAAACGCAGTTGAAATAGAGAATAATACATGGGCGCATAGATATGGAATTTCTCTTCGAGTGTTTAACACGATAGCTCACGAGTGAGCGCAGCGAACGAGTGGGATGTCGAGTTGAACACGAGAAGAGAAATTCCATATCTACAAGCAACCATGTATTATTTTGTTTATCATATAAACACAATAGCCCTTTATTGGGAAGAAAACCCGACTTTATTAATGAATGAAAATAAATGAATCGGCGATCCTCGAATAATAATCGTATAGTGCGTTGGCGCTGACTCTTAAGATGGAAAAATGCGTTGAATCATGATTACAAAACAACAATGGTCGTAATTTTCAATTTACAAAATTCTCATTTATTGAATTTGTTTTTACCGACAGAAGAAGTCTTTCAGGTAAACGGCCAAAGTCGGCTAGTAGCAAATCTTCTAGTTGTCGATTTTCATTCTCAGACGAGAGAAATGCTAACAGCAAAGCCACTGAATACGCAACTTTCGGTTTTTCTGTTAGTATATTGGTTTTCTTCCCTTCTAGGAAAGTTTGAACCTCATTGTCTGCCAGCGATACGGATTTTTTAGTGTTTTAGCCGCCATAACTTGAGAAAACTCCGACAAAAAACTTGTATTGAGAGTCGTGAAGGCTTTGCCGTTCATTTATCAACCTGACCGAGTGGCGCCAAAGGCGAGTGACGTAAAAGCAGCTGATTGGCTATATCAACACAAGTGGAAAAATACGATATTTTTTCACGTGAGTTGTTACGGCTTTTCTCAGGGCCGGAAATCCTTGTATAACACCGCAGTTTATGTGATTTATTACACCCATTTTGAAATCACTGGTGGTCCATGTAATCTGATTGGCTTTAATTGATGTAATTTATCCACGAATCGCACTATGTTTTGATTTAAATCGCATATTTTTCCCAGGCAATGAGGAGGCTACACTGAAAACAAAACGACCAATCAGATTTCAAGGCTTGTTTAAAGTAACCGATCAAATTGCAGAAAAACGAAAGACAAAGAGTATCATGTGGCAAATTTTTCAACTTTTGTTTCCAAAACTCTTACTTTTTCCCCCCAAGAGATAAATGAATTTTCAGACCGGCTCAGTACTGCATCAATAAAATGTTTGAACTGACCAAGTCCTGTATTTGGGCGATTTCAAAATGGATGTAATAAAGTGGTAATTGAACCTCGTGTCGTGTAATTTTGGTCTGAAATCACGCGTATGATTTTAGCCCTAATAATATACATGGAAAAATTACTCAGTTTTGATTGGTTATAACAAATGCAGTTTTCAGGTAATTCAGTGCAAAAGAGAGTTAATTCAGTGCAGAAGAGGGTTAATTCAGTGCAAAGAAAGAAACAAATCAGACATTCTGATTGGTCAATAATCAAAGAAACTCGCAGATAGCCAATCAAATGCGAGCCTTGGATGTCGCAACAAAATTTGAAAATTTGCGAGCGAAACAATGGCCGGCGTTTTAAGTAGGTTTTCTTTCGCCACCGCAGCTGAAAAACAGCTTAAACAACGAAAACATTGTAAAAAGCACTGCTTTTTGGTTGTCCATTTGGAAAAAGTGATGTTTAGAGAAGGGAATTGCCGAGGAAATCGAAAATTACGAGCCGACCCAGCTTAACACTTTGCTCGAGCGATCCAACGCCGAAATTTAAAACAAACATGGTTAAACCTCGGAAACGACGATTCCATTTCATCGAAAGTGATTCGGACACAGACTGAACAATTCCTTGAACTGTTTAGCCGGACTTTGAACTTTTTTGCACCTTAAAGATGTGAAGATATCATTGCATATTATTGTTTTGATCGTACGCAGTTGTTTTGACCGAACGCACGGTTTGAATAAATTATTTTTTGCACTTGATGCGCGCGCTTTGCTTTTGTTTAATTATGATAGACCATCTCGTATTTTTCCATGTATATTATTAACACGTAATCACATGATTTTTCTCGCGCAATTTGGAATAAACAAGCACTTGTTAATTTTTTCAAAGACCACAAACTGCACTCGCCCTACGGGCTCGTGAAATTTTGTTAGTCTTTGAAAAAATTTACTCGTGCTTATTTATTCCAAATTGCACTCGAAATCATGTGATTACCTATACAAATTGCACTCCACTCAGTTCAATTACCATTATAAAACAGTTTTCATGCGATGATGAGTATCTCGATCTGGAGGAAAGATGTCATGTAGAGCTTTTGTTCTTTGTTGTTGGAGTGAAATTCTTGTCACTTAAAAGTCTTAATACAGTTTCAGTCCATTCAGAATAGCGAAATGATATATTTGCCTGTGATTTACAATCCAAGGTTATGCCCAAATGTCGGGTGCACTCTCATTTTTTTACAATTCTGTCCCTAAATGTTATGGAGATTTCTTGTTGAATTTTATTCCTGCATAGAAAATCGAAGCTGTTCGCTCTTTAAGAAGCACTGAGTTCATTGGGCCCCATCATGAACTGAAAAGTATCGTCTAATGTCATTAATATTTATCATGACATTTTCTCGTAACGTAAATAGAGCGAGTATAACCTGACTCGCTTGAGACAATTTTACGCGGCCTGAGACTGGATCATTTTTATACATTTTAAACTGGATGACCTTCCTGTCGAGAAGAGGAAAGTTTAAAGCATATTGATTTAGGACAGGGTTGGAGTACTTTATTTATTTCAGAGCTATTATGGGTCATTGTAACAGAACAAACATTTAGTGCCGCGTTTATAACGACACAAGCCAAGGAACATTTTACATTTGACTTCGACTATCTTTCCCTCTATTTTTTAATAGGACTCACAGAAAATTTAAATATACTAATGAGCGTTTGATATCTACAACAAGAGATTCCAGTCGTTGTTAGCAACTTCCAAAACACCTTTAAAATCCAAATCAATGCTGTAAGAAAGAAAAAAAACCGAGGTAAAAATATAGACAAATAAAAATAAACTAGACCAAAGGTGTCAATACTTTTAGCAACCTTCTTTTCTGGATTGCTCAGCTTTACAGGCTCGATTTTGAAACTAGCGTAATTTGTTCTTAATTATATTCTAGGTTATGATATCCATTTCACAGAAGGAAAAAAAAAATGAAAATAGTGAAAACCTACCGGGTTAAAAAATCTTAACCCTAGAGAAATTTCACCATAATGAGCATGCGCCATGAACACCAGCCCAGCTTGATCAGAACCAAAAGTATCACAACAGCCAATCAAACCGTTGGTAGATATTAAACATGGCCAGTGAGAAATCCTTTAATTGTGGCCATGAGGTAGAGAACTGCTTTGCCCACTAAGCATATACTGTAACTGTACGAGTTTGGGTGAGCCGAGGATTTTAACTTACTTCATATCGGGCAGCTACAGCACAACTGACCCTCAGCACAGGCAGGGTGGGGACTGCCCGAGCAGTCACCCCTACACCTTGTCGCACAGTATCTTAAGTCATATCGAGATATGCACTCATCATTGGGTTCCTGTGCAACTAAAAAACAGAGATAAAAAGTACCGATTTCATGATTTTTTCTTAAAATACCTCTTAGCTCTCCTGAGGACAGTTAAATCTTTGTTTACAACTTAATTAAAGTCGCTTGTATCGTGAAGATTAACAAGGCTTTGAAAAGTCCAACACTTTTTTTGGCAGACTCAGCCTAATTAAAGTGAAAAGGGTGAAGAAGGGGGGTGAGGGATGGGTGGGAGGGATGGGGGAGGTGGAGGGAGAGTAAGGGGACACCGCCGTCCTTTTTTCTTCGACTTACCTTAGTGTAGCTTAGAGTCTTTGACGGATCGATTATAATGGCATAGAGTGGTAAGGCTCTCACTTTGTAACGCATCAGTCCATTCTTTCTAAATATTTTATATATCTCCGTGATTTACACGCTAAGGCATCTAAGATCAGCGAGATTGAAATCACACTACAACTCCCAGAATGTACCCCTGGAAAATGAATATCAAATCCTTCACGGAATACAGACATCGAAAAACAAATGTTAAAACAAGTGACTGGTGTATAAACCATGAGCAAATGACGGAAAAACAAATTAAGTTACCTTCAGGCTTGGGTGCCACGTGATCAGCAACCAGGAATATTACAATAACTGTGAAAGTCACAAACAGCTTCATAGTGTAATCTTAAACCACACAGGATATCAATCTGAAAAGTAGTCACTGTGAAAACAAAAATGCAGCTCTAAGAAGAAGTTTGGCTTTTGAATATTTTCATGCGTTTAGACTAACAGAATTTATTGTTTTTTTAGAGGGCACGGTAACGAATCTTGCAATCTGATTGGTTCTTTACCCGGTCAGTATTTTCCTATCTCTGCCCACGGGCAACGGTAACGCTTTCGTGAGTCGCCGAGTACATCCCAACTTTCGTTGTCATTTTTCATAAATATACCTCGTTTTCCGGCTGGGCAGTATTTTTAAGCAAACACGTCGGTCACTACCTCAAGCTGATAAATAACTTATGAATCCTCTCTTTTCTCTCTATCAAATCACTTTAGTTGACAGAAAAATATTGGTTTCAGAATGAATTTTGTATAAACAATAGTGTCATTACGTTGGTTGACAAGCGGCCTAAAAACCGTCTGCAATTAATTTTAATCGTTCACAAAAAGTACCCAGAAAGTTGAAACGTGAGGTATTTGGTTACAGTTAAACTGAACGATGGAACTTTCATTCATTTAATATCTGAATTTTCTCGAGCAATTTGTTCATAGTGAAAGAGCGAGCGACGTTTTAATTTAAGTTCTACAACAAATATACGCTCCTGGTGAGTCTTTCCAATTCCGTTCAGTTTGGACATTTGTACCTTAAATTGCACAACAGAAATTGAAGGAATTTTTTGAGAAAAGGCCGCATTACATTCCCTTGTGTCTCGTTGGAGTGTGCCGTTCGAATTTAGTTTTTGTGAAGGAAAGATCAGAGTTAAACACGCCATTACAGCAAACAAACGAGCAAACTCTCACAACTTCAAAATAAAAAAATTGAATTTACTCAAAATTACTTTCCTCGCCGTTTACTTAATGAACAGAGGTAAATCTTCGTACATGAATGAATGGTCGATGAGAGTGAATAATACTTTCCGTTAGATCATTAACTGATTTTGAAGAAAACATTGTCGTGACAGTCCTTGCCAAACTAGTTCTGTTTGTTTTCAAATGTTCCTACGGTTTTTTTTTTTCTTGCGCGCTCTCTAATTGACAGGTGTCAGATTGTGACAGATACTTGTAAAAATAATGTTTCAAAGTTTGTTTGGAAGCCTTTTAAATCACCTTTATCGTTACGGAAATTAAAATGTTTCGCTGAGGCATCTCTCTTAAATTTGCATCACCTCTATTTTAACCACCATTTACCCACTCAAAAATTGTTCAGTTTATGAAAATCTTGCCGTATTTACGTCCATAAATCATTCGGGTTCTTTCGGAAAGAATTTAGTCAAGTTTAAAAACAATAAATATGTTATTTACCGGCTAAGGGTCGGTCCGTATGGTGAAAAACTGTGACCTCGGTCTTGAAAATGCTGCCCTCGGCCTACGGCCTCGGGCAGTATTTTCAAGACCTCGGTCACAGTTTTTCACCATACGGACCTCCCAGCCAGCAAATAACATATATATATGTTGCTCTGATTAATCCCGAAGTATATATAAAATTACAATTGCATGGGCCAACGGCTTGTGACGTTACGTTTCATGCCCCTTAAGGCATTTTCACGATAACTGATAGTCTTAGCGAAACGCAAGTCCTCTGTAAGTTTGCACTGAACAGACTAGGACTTGCTGGACTCAAAATTTAAAACAAAGAAACGAGCTCTCTCCTACCTTGATGTCGACAAAAAAATAACCAGGTTTGACTCGGATCTCTACAAGGAGATGTATACTATCGATGTCTTTGTGATTACAGCTGATTCGATTACCATCATAGAGAGACATGCAAAGATCAATCTGGATAAATAGAATGCGATCCGACAATCACAACATATTATTTAAGAACGTTGAGCGATAGAAGGTTGACGTGCGTGTCTTTTCATTTGGTTTTCGGTTACTCTTGAAAATGAGGGAATTTGCATTTGAAAATCTACTGTCAGTCTAGGTTAACTCAGGTGGAAGCGCAGTCTGAGAGTTAGTCAAACAGAAATTTGAGAGAGAAACTCTATCGATGACGACTTGAACCAAAAGCTTGGGGCAATAAAATCCGTGTACCTTAGTGCCAACCGATTTTCAATTGTTAGGAAAATGAAACACAAATTTTATTTTCGTTTTTCGTTTTTCTTTGCCGCAAAAAAACGAAATTGGACTTCCATTTTCGTTTTTCATTTTTTCCCCGCCGGGAAGGAAACGGAATCCGAATTCACTTTATGCTCTCCGTTTTTCCTTTTTTGTAACTTTTGAAAACACGGATTTTAATTTTCTTTTTGGTTTTTTGGTTTTTTGGTTTTTTGGTTTTTTGGTTTTTTGGTTTTTTGGTTTTTTGGTTTTTTGGTTTTTTGGTTTTTTGGTTTTTTGGTTTTTTGGTTTTTCGTTTTCGTATGGGATTTGGAAAACGGATCACAAGTCGTTTTTCGTTTTTGGCCAATGGCAGTGAAACTGACAATCTTTGTTTAAGCGGGGAATATTTAGGAAACTAAGATGGCGGCGTTAGAAAATGTCTTAGAAGAAGATTTTGTCCGCCGGTTTCTTATCGCACAGAAACATACTTGCGAGGAGCTTGTCACTGAAATCAAGGCTCGATATCCGAATCTAAAGGGCTGCAGTCTACAAAGCGTAAAAAGGTTTTGTAATCACCAAGGAATAAGGAAAAGAATGCCAATTTCGGATGAAGTGCTTAAGTGCCGCTCTCGCTAAGAGCGCTCCTCTCGACTTCCCGTCGGAGAAAAGTTTTCTTGTAATCCGCAAATGCAAAACGAAAATGGAAGTCCAATTTCGTTTTTCTGCTGCAAAAAAAACCGAAAATAAAATTGGTTTCATTTTCCTATACAATTGAAAATCGGTTGGCATTAAGGTACACGGATTCAACAAGTCGAGCTGAAAGTCCACAGAATCAGGACTCTTTATCGTGCTCCTTATTTGCTATTTGAATTAAAAACGTATTTTCGGAATTCTCTCTGAGTTGCACCCACACGTTTGCAAACAAGCCCGTAGTGCGTCCCACACACTATATACCTCCGGCAGCTGTGTCCTTAGTACAAAATTATCGTTGCGTCTACTAAGGTTTGTGTAAGGTCTAGCAGGTTTCAATCAACAGCTTTCAATCTTGTAAATACAGCACATCAAGGTTTGAGAAAAACAAAACTAGTACTGATAGTGACAACGCAACAAGCTTTGACAACACTCTAAATTTATTATAATAGAGACCTACGTTCGAGGTCAGTTTCGCTTTTTTGCTTTGGTAAGAATATAATATTTTACAAAGAATCAACAATTCACGCACCAAATTACAATAGGATAACCAATACTGTGCTAGAGACAACAAATAGCGTGCTTTAAAGGTATCAAGCTTTAGTGAATACAGAAACTGAAGGTTCTTGGCTTTACAACGGACACGACAACAACTCCTTTTTTTTTTTTAATAACACAAACCTGCTGATAAAACAATAATTTACAACGCTCAAAATCTAAGCAGCAATATCATTGCGAAATTTTCAAGAGCAAGAGAAGGATCTACAAAACTACGGGACTCCTTTTCTAAGTGATGTACCCTGTTCTCAAAGAGGTGTGCATGATGGACTTGGCTCTCACATAAAGTTTGAGACAACAAAAAGAAAATCGGTTGGAGAAAACTTTTGTCCTTCAAAATTTGTGCGCCTCTTACCTTAGACGACTTAGTTCGGAAAAAAATTATAAATATTTAAAATATCTTTATGTAAAATGGCACTAGCACCTTCAGAGGTATTTGTTTGATACATGATTTTCACTACTGAAACACAAGATTTAATATTCCTGGAAAATGACCTATAGCATTGGTAAATTGTTTGGAGTGTAAGTTGTGCCTTTCTACGCGAGAAGATCACAATTAAATCATTACTTGAGACAAACAAACACCAAAACACTGTCATTTAAGACAAACACAAAGATGAAATTGAAAACGTCCATTCACAAAAATCCCAAAGACATACTGTATATCAAGATCATACAAATTTCAACAAACTAAAACAAGTCCTCCTAAGTGGTAAGCTTCAAAATTTCTCAGTTCTAAAGCGAAGACTTCATTGTTACAAATTTCGTCGAGGCGGCTGGGTACCGTTTTCTTAACCACGGAGAGGCTACATTAAGGCGCCAACACTGCCAGTCGGATTGAAGGAAAACTACCCCCAACCCGTTAAGTCTGAGGTAGGCACAAAACAATAACAAAAACAAATACAAACGCTTCAAATGGCACGACCCCCACTCGAAACAAAATCCAACTATCTAAAGTTGAAAACCTGACCCACAGAGACCCTCCCTTTTTCTTTCCTTTTTTTTTCTCTTTAATTACTATGACGGCAGCTACACCCATGTGCCAAATTGTGTTTGGTTACAGTTATGATCTGGTCATGCAGGAAGAGTCGAATTTGGTAGCGGAGACGTTGGCGCTGACGGTAAAGGCGAGACGATCTGTTGAGTTGGTGTACCGCTAGACTGCATAGGCACTGGGGACACAACAGTCTGCGCCAATCTCTGTTGCTCCTGTCTCACCACTGGATCTGTAAGGCACAGCACACACAGTAACTATAAGCACACTGTGTGGCTCCACTTACTTTTATTTTAGAGTGATTGTTCATTTTTCTAAGGACATATTCTTTACCAAATCTTCAACTACGAATATTGCATTTCTAGTGTTTTGATTGGTTCATTCAACATCGGTTATCAGCTCATGTTCCAAGACACCTTATATGAAAATGCATTGCACCAACTGTTTCTGAGCTGAAAAAAGATTCCAAATATTCAGGTTTTAATGAAAGTTAATAAAATAATTATTCCATTCGCGCTTGTTAGATACGAGAATGGTTAAAGCCAAATCAGCGCTACGGCCTATTAACCATCTCATATCCAACGCGCGCTTCTTTTGCGAAAGATGCGATGAACACAATGTTTGGCGCTCTTGACAACGCATCAAAATGTCCGGCTTCGAAACCTTAGTGAGATCATTGTCTTGAGTTCTCGGGCATTATGGTTATCACTTTAATTGTCTTTTTCAAACTGAGTATGAAGGGGTAATGGCCAAACACCAGGGAACCTGACCCTATTGAACCATCACTCCTATGCCATATTAAACCGCCTGATATATTGCAGCTCCCACAAGATGCATTAGGACCATTTTCTACGTATTAATTTTACAAAATGTATTGAAAACACGACAAATTTACTTACGGAAGTACGGATGTTCCATGGCTTCCCTTGCTGTCAAGCGTTCCTGTTGACAAGATAATCAATCAGACCAAAAACTCATGAAATCGAATTTTGGTCACGTTCTCACTGGTATCAGCTTGATCATATGGCCACACGCAGAGGAACGATCATTTTGATAATCATTAATATAGCTGACTGATCGTGTGGTCTAACAGTTCGGGTGACAATGAGGTTGTTGTCTACGACGCTGACCATCGATTTTATTACGAACAGAACTTCTTACAATTGACGGAAAAACAACTCGTGAGACTCCGATTATGACTTTGGCTCGGATTGACGTAACCTGAGCCCGTGATGCAGCCGATGGGGTATCGTTTAAAAGGAGCAAAGGGCAAAGAGCACAAAGAGCACGCGTAGTTCTTTACATGTACATTGTCGACTTCGGTGATATTCAGGCGGGAAAAAGAAAAAAAAAGGCGGGATATGCAATTTCCACTATAACTGAAAATTTCGGGAGCATATTTTCTTTGATGCAGACACAAGAAATTTTTTTTTACATGTACATGCAGTGTGTTTATTGTTTCGGCATACCGCAATGTCGTATCTTAGGAGTTTGTCCAGCAAGTCAATTGCTTCAGGGCTCACTAGAAGTTCATTCTCTGAATGCGTGAATCTTTCCCATCTCTTTCTTGAATGTCTACGACAAAACAACAAAAAAAATTGAATATGCTGATGTAAAACAGAAAAGAACAAGAAAACTATGTCTGCACATGGATTTGACTCATATAGTCGCCCCGTTTTTATGTATTGAAGCGACAAGTAGTGCTACTAACACTCCCGGAGGGGATATTGATCCATGGCATAACATTAGGTTAAACAATCAGTTCGGTGGTTGAGTATCGTACCATGATAGAAACTCCTCGGACCAGATGGTCTGACGTTCGAATCCTACACGTAGCGTGGGACACCTTGTTTGTTCTTTGTCCAAAGCTCGAGACGAGTGACTAAGAGTATGGTTTGATTTAACCCTTTTCACCCAAAAATAAGACTTCACATTCTCCTCACTATTCTTTCCACATTTTCGATGATGCTCGCTAAAGAATGTTTGAAAATCTGGAGCTTCTTAAACTGGTGATCATTTCCTTTATTATCATGACCTTTTCATTTAATTTAAGGAAGACACTGTAAGGGGAAATTAGAGGCCAGACACTCTAAGAGGTTAGACCAAATGTTTAGATCTAGAATTGAATTCATTATAAAGAAACGGGGCGTTTGTTTGAAAAACGAATGTACATTGTATGGCAGACATTGCAGAGGATTGTTACTGGATCTCGTAAGTGAAGGGTTAAATACTATAAGCCAAATGATAAACGCACAAAACGCCAGCCAAACATAAACAAAACTAACCTCCCTAAGATGTCATTGAATCTTGGGTCTAATTCAATATGATACTTCTCGATATATTCAAACAGCTCATCTGTTCCTATCACTTTGGCAATTCTGACAAGCTGGAGGAAGAGAAAATTAAAAAAAAATCAATAATAAAAATCACACATC